TTATGGGCATCTGGGAGTGTGAAATATGACCAGTCAGACTTCTCGGGATTCGTGGAGGAGACGATGGGAGTTCACACACACCGACCGGAAAGGGGGATGGGTGCATGACCAGGCTCGATTGGGGTGAGCAGTGTGCGGTGCCGAATCTTGAATCAGGAAGTTGGCGCATGAAGAGAGATGGGGACGGGAGGCAAAATCTGAAGACTGGGGGAAAGGGGAACGATGCAAAGAAGCATGCACGACGACGAGTTTGGGAGATGCGAGGCGACGGATTCTGTCAGGAAACAACATGAGATGGATGAGGGGATAGGAGCACGCCCCCCTCGGGTCCTTGGAGATGAGGCATGATGAGCTCGAGCGTGCACCCCGCATGCAGCTCTTTCGTTGCCCAAAACCCAGATGGGAGAGAGCTGGGTCTTGCGGGCGAACCAGATCCCATATCCCGACTCGAGGGTGGCTGGCGACATGGCCCAACACGGGAGGATGATGCAGCGAACCGAGGGGGGATACCTATGTATGGAGTAATTCTTGTTCCTGTTTCTCGTTTTCTTTTTGCGGCTGGTTTTGAGAGAAGAACAGGTAGGCAGAGTTGAATGTTTACCTGACTGAGAAGCATGAGGTAGTAGCATGACAGGCTGCAGGGTTAAAACAATAGAAGTGTTTCCTTTGTCTGTTCTGAATGTGTCAAGAGCTGCTCAATATCCCCCAAAACGCACAACCCGGTCCCCGCAGAGCGGCCACTCAGTGCGCATCCCGCTCTCTCCCGCCCCGCCCCATCCTTCCCACCCCCCACCCCACCCCACCCCACTGGTTGTGTGTTGTTTTAACAGCAACCCAACTGGCCAGGGGAGACAGGGCCCCGGCACCTGCAACCTGAACCTGAACCTGAACCTCACTCAACTCAGTTCGCTCACAACTCACACGCGGCACCTCACTTTACAACGAACCACCTCACATTTTGGTGGGAAACGCCCTCAGACAGCCGAGGACGCCATCGACGACTTGATCGACGCACACATGCAGCTGCCACACGTCCCAGGGTTCCAATCGAAGCCAGCAGAAGCACTCAACGCCCGCCACCTCGGTGAGCGTGAATCTTGAGGCTAGGGTCCTGGGTCTGCCGCTGGACCCGCCCATCCTCCCAGTTGGCCGAAAAAGCAACAAGACACTTGCAGCAGCAAAAGTGAGAAAAGTGAGAAAGTGAGATCAGAAAAGACAAAGAAACGACACGGCAGAAGCAAAGGCAGCTGCTGGCGTCTGTCCGATGCACCCCAGGTGACCAAGCCTTGCTCCCAACCCTCAAAACCCAAGACGGCGCGCCATCCACTCTGGCAGCCATGCGGCCACGAAAATCCATTTTGGGCATTGCTTCCTCACCTACCCAACCCCGCAGGCTTGGGAGTCTCATCAACCAGACCTTTGTCTCTCTTGCCCAGTCCACCGAGCCTTTCCAGGCCACTATTGCTTTTCCATCAACCAGTCACTATACCTCCCGCCCAGAGTTGACCACCACATACGCCCCTGACGAGGCAGACGACGAGGGAGAGGACTCGTCCTATGACTTGGACGAGGAAGACGACGGGGACGGAATCTATCTTGATGAGGAAGACGACGACGAAGACGACAACAACGGGGACCACAGCTCGGACAACTACCTGGACGAGAACCTATGTTATAACGACCCATATAACTTTCCTGTTCATAACCACCCACCACGGCCTTCAGACGTCCCACCCCATCCCGACCTGTATCTGTCCGAAGAGAGTGACTTCTCGGATGGTGCTGGAACCCCGTTGGTGAATCACTATTCAGACGTCCTAAACCTGCTCTCTCACGACATGGATATTGAAAGCGCGAGCGATACCGACGCTGGGATCGAGTATTCGAGCCATGAAGAAGATGACGGGCTGGACAACAGCCCGCCTGGTTCCATCAGCGGTCCCGAGCCATCACTCCAGAGTGGCGATGATGTCTTTTATGACGGCCAGCCACCAGTAGAAACAACGATGGTTGATTACATGAGTGTGGCTACATTCCATCCAATACCTCCACCAGCTCCCAACCCACCCATGATGCACCATGCGATGACAACTTGGTTCGAGGGTGACCACCCTGTTGCTCTCTCGAATCCCAACTCAGGGACCTTGAGGCCCAGCAATTACGGCCTGGCTGATTTTTTGCACAACTGGACACGACAGAGCAACATGCTGCAAGGCTTGGTCCGCGGGCGAGCTCCATGGCCAGACAAAATCAAAGAATTTGTCTCCGCCGAGCCGACAGGTGTCAAGCGCGATGATCTTCAGGGCGATATTTGCGACTTTCAGGGTGTCGACTGGGACGATATGGGGGTGCTGAGAAAAGAAGCACGGGAACGCCGACTGCTCACTTACAACAACTATGTTAACATACCAGGCTCAGACAAGTGGACTGTGAGTACCCCATTTCCGCCGCTTCGTATTGATGATGAACTCCAAACTTACCTGGTGACCACAGCCCGATCTGCCTGATGTTATGCTCCCACAAAGGGAAAGCTTCTTTCGGTTCCGCCGGATGAATATCAGGCGTAATGTGAACTTGGCCCACTTTCAGCTTCGCTATCTGTTAGGAAGCACTTCGCGTTCACGGGTCTTTTATCCTAGCATCAACTCCATACAGCAACTAAATCCCATCTCGGGCGAAGCCTGCCCGATTGTGAAACTGAGCGACACCGCCGGATCACAGATATCAACCCTCATCGCCGACCATGGCGTCCTGGTGGCGGGTAGCTTTATTGGAGAGTATACCATCCGCCATCTCGATTCGAATGAGCCCGAGAGCAAGGCCTGCCACACCGGAACTATCACCACCCATCTCAGTGGTATCACGAACCATGTCCAGGTCCACCAGGCGCGGTCATCCTCGTCGCCGTTGGCAGCTTTCGCCTCAAATGACATGGTGTTCCGGACGCTGGACATCGCCACTGAGACTTGGCTCTCTTGCGAGAACTTTGATTTCCCGTTGAACTGCACAGCGCTGTCACCAGACAAGCGGTTGCGTGTCATGGTGGGCGACACGCTAAACGTGACCATCACAGCGGCTGAATCAACACTTCCAGACGGCAAACCAGAGGTCCTCCGTGAACTTTCGGGCCACCACGATTTCGGCTTCGCCTGTGACTGGGCGGACGACGGCTGGACCATCGCCACGGCGTTCCAAGACAAGTCTGTCAAGATATGGGATGCCAGGTACTTGACCGACAGCTCAGGCGCCTCGGTTCCCCTCTGTACGATTCGAATGCAGATGGCCGGGGCGAGAAACTTGAGATTCTCGCCAGTGGGAAGCGGCAAGAGAGTCCTCGTGGCGGCCGAGGAAGCCGACTTTATCAACATCATCGATGCCCAGACGTTCCGCTCCAAGCAGACGTTGGATGTGTTTAGCGAAATCGGCGGTGTAACTTTTGCAAACGGCGGTCAGGATCTAATGGTCTTGTGCTGTGACCGTGATCGTGGAGGGTTGCTGCAACTGGAACGGTGTGGGCTTGGAGACGAGTCAGTCTTCCAGGCGGAGGACGACAACGGTAAGCCAGTCCGTCTTGGAGAGCACCCTCTCCGGCATCACAGAGGCGGTAGCTATGACTGGCCCGAGTCCGTGTTCACAGAAGACAGAAGAAGGAAAGAGAGCTCGACGAAGAGGTACAGGAAGGCGGCGGCGCAGTTCGATATCGAACCGTTCTGATTATAATGTTGGCCCTGCCTTTGTTGGTTTAGAGACGGACTCATTTTGCATGATTCAAGTGGGCGACTGAAGGAAATAGCTTTTGGTGGAATGATACCTTGGACATTGACGGACGGTTGGCTGAGGACCTCGGCATTTTCACATATACGTTTTTTGGGGGGGTTTCTTTTTGGATGTTATGCTTCTTCCTGTTTGTTATTGATGGGAAGAAATGAGAGGGGGTATGACGCAACGAAGTTCCATGTCGATGCTGTCTGAGCGTTCGGGGATCATTGAGCATGTGAGTGTTGAGCGGAAATCATCGATGGTTTTGGACGTGTAACGATAACAAGCCACCGTATCATGTGAGAAGGCGGTTGGGGGACTGAGGAAGCTGTGAGGAGTGAAGGCTAAGGCATAACATACTATACTATGCATCTGTACTTTTCACTTTTATCTTTCTATATTCCCACCGTTTCATTTTCTGTTGGCTTCACCATTCATCGGGCAATACCCCGTTTCTCTTTACTCAGTCTCACTCACACCTTTCTTCGGATACGTTTAAAGAGCAATACATATCAAGCGGCTGGTTCGCCGAGCAGTGTAACAGAGCAACGCATGGGGTTCATCAGACATGAGAAAAAGTGATAGGATACGATGTACAAGTCTGTGGTCTTGTTCATATGCAAATGCCCCCTATAGCAAGATTACAAAGAGATGTCTCTCAGACGAGAATGGAAAAGAAAACCCAACGACCACCACTGACCGAACCCTCTCATGAAACCAACAACGGCAATAAACTAATAGGAAAAAAACATGCTATATATGATTTCAACCAACTCCCTCCCAAATTCAAACGCCGCGCTCGTGATAATCTATACCCGAATGCCCATTTTTCTCCATTTCGAAACGAAACAACAACCCCTATTATCACCCCCTTGATACTACACCAACTGCTGCTGTTGTTACACATACCTCAACTTCTTCGTCACCACCGCCGCCACCAACGACCCCAACGCCCCCAAAAACATCGTCACGGCAATCGCGTTCGGCCCCGTCGGATCGGCCGTCTCGCTAGGGTGCGCCTCGTGCGCCAGCTCGGGGCTCTTCCCCGGCTCCAGCATCGCAAACACCATCCCGCTCATCAGCGTGCTAAGAAACTGGGGAATCGTGACATAAATGTTTAAGATACCGAAATAAACCCCGCTCAGGCCGCCAGATGAAGAACTACTCTCCTCGTCCGGCTTGCCCATCTCCAGCACCGAGACGTCCCGCATCTCAATATTTCTTGCTGTGGGGTCTGGCTGTCCGCTGAGTTTATTTACTTCGATTCCGAGAAAGGTCGTCGGCGCCCACCCGGCCACGCTCCAGGGGATGCCGCAGAGGGCGACGATCGCCGTGGCGAAGCGGAACGAGGTCGCGAACGGGGTGATAAACATTGCGCAGGCGAACATGATGTTCCCCGCGATCCAGGCGGTCAAGAGGTCGGGTTTGTACTTGTTGAAGGTGTTGATCAGGGGGGCAATGCTGGCCGGGGGCCGGTGGGTGAAGCTCTTGTCTTCGGGGGCTTGGATCAGCACCGGCAGGACCCAGGCGCTGATGAAGGAGACGGTCGAGTACACCGTCAGGGCTGTGCTGCCGATGCGGCCCATGTCGCCGAGGGCGTCGTCAGAGTTGCGGGCGTCGGCCGAGACGTCGTAGCGGAAGTACGTCTCGCCTACCCAGGTGCTGCTGTAGACGATGAAGGGGAACCAGCCGATCCAGGACCAGAAGACGGCGTTGCAGATGGCTTGGATGCGCGGTGGGAGGGTGAGGACTGTGGACCAGATCTGGCGGACGACTTTGAAGCGCACGTCGGTTTGGCGGGGGTCGTGGCGGACCGAGAGGAGGATTCGTTCGGTGACTGCCCAGCATGTTATGAAGGCGGTGGCGAGCATGCCCAGGGCGGCGATGACGGTGAGCTGTTTGAACTGGGTGTCTCCGAGTGTTGGTCCGAAGATACCGACCAGGTCGATTGCGCCCATGGCATAACCAATAATATGGCCAAGGGAACCCATTCGACTTGCTAAACAACGTTTTGTGTTAGTATCTGGGTGAGTTTTGCGCTTGGTGATGTTCAGGCTTACCCCAGGCAGCACCGGTTTGCTGTTTGGATATTGGGAGTGTGTCTACCACTAAACTCCTGCCGCAAGACATGACGGCATTAATGGAGAAATCAACCGAGTACAACGAAAGGACCGCAAGCACAATGGTCATCAGTTGTGCAGTGTCCTTGTCACTAATGAAGAAATCCACAATCTCCTTGGTGAAGCCCAGCGCAAGTAAACTGCCGGACACGATGAAAGACCCTATAACGATGATGGGCCGCCGCCTCCCCCATTTCGACGTCGATTCATCAGCTACAACACCGATAATGGGCTGAACTATCAGCCCCGATAATGGCCCCGCGACCCAAACCAGAGATGTCTGCCCCTTTGATAGTCCGAGTGAGAGGAGGTATGGGGTACAATCTGTGCAAGAAGGCTGTCAGTACGCCATTGAATGAAAACTTATATGGGTATATCTTACAAGTCATTTCCACTCCCCATGTGAAGCTATATGTAAACCGTTGGTCAGCAATTCAACTCTCCCCCAGAGGTGGATAGACCATCTACTAACGTGATGCCAATGGATACGCATGTCAATAAGAACATGCGCATCGTCTCGGTGCTCCCCTTCACGCTCGGTTTCCCACTCCATGTCGACATGTTCGGGTCGGATTTCACGACGTAATGTAGTGTGGTCCCCTATCCCAACGCCCCACGTTGGCAGCCACAAACGGTCGGCGGCGTTGTGGAATCGTCGCGCCGGCGTGCGCTATCCCTGCGCTCGTCGCCTGGCAAGAATTGGATGCGATTAACGAATATGCTGTTCGAGAAAGGCGCCCTGTGTTAGCATTCTTTGTCCGCTTAACCTAAGACCTCGGGGGTTCGGTCGTGTTTGCGCCGAAGCAACGAGGCGGTGTCTATCTTCCCGAGACCACGATAGGATTATCTCTCACCATCTAGCATCAATCAAGCCTCGCAAATTTGCGCGAGCTTGAAAGAAAAGGGCTCGGTATCTATTCGCACTCGGATCAAGGTCGCACAATGTGTCTCGTTTCGGGCTGGCACAGTTGCAATTCGCGGGCAATGGCTCCGTGGGTTGGTGGATGGTCAACTTTCGCGGCGCATACGGTAAGAATTAAAGCAATAGTGAGAGTGAATGGGCAAGAAGAATTATGTCTGAGACAAGAGCAAAGAGAGAAGCAAAAGACTTGGAGCCGAGATGTGTCGTTATCTTTTTGCTGTTGCTCTCTCCAGTTGGATCGCATCCACGCCGTGCGCCAAGAAGGGCAGAGCTGTGTAACACTGGCCCTTGACTAAGACAAACCACCCAAAATAGGGGGGAGGTGACGTACCAAAGCCCGAGCGGACAGGGGTCTTATAGGGCAGCTCTTGGCTATCGTTTCAATCCTCATCTTATCGCATCTTGAACTTAGGTAAACTTACATAAGAAATGCGACAGTGAAGAACATTGTGAATCTAGAACGACCGCTAGCGCATGTTGGACGACATGCAGCGATCTGGCTTCAACTATTGCTCTGCTCGCTACTACTATTATATTTGTATGAAGTAGCTGTCGTGAGACGTTACTAGCCAACAGAGACTTGACCTGCGACCAGATGACGTTGCGCCAACTCCTAGCCTTCTACTCAGCCGTGATAGTCCACAACGGCGGAAACTCAATTCTTACACAGATATAAGATGTTGGCATATCGTTGCCTACCGGTACCAAACGCTTTCCCAATGTGAAACCCCAAAGCCGATGCCGTGGTGGATGCTCTTCGGTGGATGCCGCCCCCCACGGGAGGGTCGGGTTCAGGGCTGGCACGGAGCTACCCCACCATTCCTGACGAGGGGCACCAGTAACGGCGCTCCGATTCAGGAACGTGGATTTGGGTGGTGGGAGGAGAAAAATCAGGCCGGTGACTCGACCAACAGATATGGGGACTCATTGCGGACCCAAACATGCCGCACTAGAACATAGAAGTACAGAACAGCCCAATCAGTACATCCCAGTCCATCTCTCTATTCCTAGGTGTGTGTGTCAGTGTTGTGCGTTTTGCGCGTTCCCCGTCCTAGTCATTCTGGCTTCTCGATATTTCACCCCGCCATTACCACTGTCCCTGTCGTGTGTCTAGACTCCCTTCCCCAATCTTCTGCAGCACCCTTCTCCATACATGAGAACCTCATTGACTGACCCATACTCAAAGGTGAACGTCTTCTCCTGCAGTCTGCCGCTGTACACCCCGCGCAATCCCACGTTGAAGTTACCCTGGACCCCCCCCCAGGCCGGCCGTTACCCTCTCTTCCTGTTTGGTAAACCACCCTACCCTTCCCTCTCCAGCGCATATTAGGAGCCACGTCCCCAGTCAGTATGGATTTGGTAAACAGGTTGGTTTTTCCTTCCCCTCCATCCCCTCTGCTTTGTGCTGTCCTGTCTGGTTTGGTTTGCGCCAGTTTCTTCCCCATATATATCATGCCTCCACCAGAGCTGATCAGTCTCAACAGCCTAGAAGGCCGTCTGCTCTTCGCAGTTCCTAAGAGTACGCGCCTCCCTTCTCCCCTCCTCTAACCTCCCACCCATATTGACACCTCCGAAAAGAAGGTCGTCTCCTCCAAGCAGCCCTCAACCTCCTCGAAGGCGCCGACATCCAGTTCAAGCGCGAGAGCCGCCTCGACATCGCCCTCGTCAAGAACCTCCCCATCGCCCTCGTCTTCCTCCCCGCGGCCGACATCCCCACCTTCGTCGGCGAGGGCCGCGTCGACCTCGGCATCACGGGCTATGACCAGGTCCAGGAGCACGACGCCGGCGTCCGCGCCATCGCGCGCGCCCGCCGCATGAGCAACGAGTGGTCCCCCAAGGACGAGAAGCCCCGGGGCTGCGACACCATCCTCGACCTCGGGTTCGGCTCCTGCAAGCTCCAGATACAGGTCCCGGCCAAGGGGGAGTACCAGACGGGCAAGGACCTGATCGGGAAGAACATCGGCACCAGCTTTGTCCACCTCGCGTCCGAGTACTTTGCCAGGTTGGAGCTCGAGCAGGAGGGCATCAAGGTCGACAGCACGGCCAGCTATGCCGGGAGGAAACTCAGGACGAAGATTATTGAGTTGAGCGGGAGTGTCGAGGCGGCGTGCGCGTTGGGTGTGGCGGATGGTATTGTTGATCTTGTCGGTATGCTTCTTTTCTCTCCCATGTTTATTCTTCCCCTTACTAACCCCATCAAAAGAATCCGGCGAAACAATGAAAGCCGCCGGTCTCAAAGCCATCGAAACCGTGGTCGAAACCTCGGCCATCCTCATCAAGTCAAAGGCCCCCTCCAACCCAGCCATGGTCGACCTCATCGCCGCCCGCATCAACGGCGTCATCACGGCCCAAAAGTACGTCCTCTGCCAGTACAACGTCCCCCGCGCCCAGCTCGTCGACGCGACAAAGGTCACCCCCGGCAAGCGCGCCCCCACCGTCACCTCCCTCGAGGAGGACGGCTGGGTCGCCGTCAGCGCTATGGTCGAGAAGAAGCGGATCGCGCCTGTTATGGACGACCTCACCAAGGTTGGCGCGACGGATATTCTTGTTTTGGACATTCACAACACCCGTGGGAGCTGAGTGTGACGATGGAGGCAGAAAAAGGACTGTCAGAAAAGGGGGTCGGGGTTTGGGATACTTAAAAAATTGATACCTGTAAAAGTTTTTCTGATCTTGGTGAGATCTTTGCAATGTTGGGTGTAAAAACTCTTTGGATTTTGTGAAGGCTATCCACCTATACATGTATGGGTCTTCTGATACCCCCGACTAGCGACCGTTTGGCAGTCTCGTAGAGAGTCCGTTACCCCTGAATAAAGTCATGACTTGGATAGAGAAAAAGGAATGATACGCGGTATGGAACGCAATTACAAACAGATACAATTTCAGTCTTGCGAAATCCTCAGGTCCAGTTGCCGAAAGAGAGAATGGGGGATATATCAAGGAAAATAACACGACCCCCTCACAAACGCCATTGTTTCTTTCCCATAAAAGACCAAAAAGACCACACACCAAGGAAAATCAGAACCATTTCTTCCTCATTCATCAAGATCCCCACTACTGCGATAAGCAGCAGATCTTTCCGTCTCTCCTATCTTAACTCGCCAGAGTCCTAACTCGGAATAAGGCCCCCCAAAACAAAAGAAACATTAACAGTTTGTGGCAAAATAAATACAAATGAAAAAATATACGGGCGAAAGAAGAATAGAAAAGAAAGATCAGTAGATCGGCCTTCCCGGTCCCTCCTCCCAGTTCCTGTGCGGCACAACCTCTTGCTCATCCTCATCCTTTACGCCAGGACCCCACGACACTCTCATGCTTTTTCTTCCCGACCTCCTCGCCGAACCCTCACCGTTGGCGATCCTGCTTGGCCCAATCCACTCCCAGGCACGACCGACTTCACCATTGTGACTCTCCCTCTGCCCGGTCCGAACATTGGCGTTTTGCTCAACCAGAGCACGAACCCGAGTCCACAGGCGCTCCCGGTCAGCCAGGCTGTGCATCGAGCGAAGCAGATCGTCCCTAAGGTTTGGCAAGAAAAGGAAGGCGTCCTCCTTCTCATCCTCAAAAGCGAGTTCCTTCTGATTGGCGAGGCGATCAAGGACAACGTCAACCAGGGCCGGCACCCGCGCTGCCAGAGCGCGGTTCTTCTGGAAGCGGCGACGCCCATAAAGAATCGACAGTAGCGACATGATTAGTCCACCAATAGAGAGTCGATGTCTTGCCAGTCCGAGCTTCGCCGACCGCTGGATGGCGCACGTGAGCGGAAGGCCAGCGAGAGAGGTGGACGATAGGCTGGTGGTAGGAAAGCCTCCGGCACTTCCGGTTCTACAGGTCCAGCCACGGGTCTGGTTAGTCAAGATGTGTCAGATACCAAGAAATATGAGCACGACAGCCGCAGAACAAGAGGGACTCCATGCTGGTTGTACAGGGGCCGGGCAAAACTTACACATTTTCATCGCTGTGGACTTCCACTTCACCCCGAGACTTGACCTCTCCAATCGCGGCAATCCAAAGGTCGTCAAACTCATCAGCGGCCATTCTCTTGCTCCGCTTTTGGCTAAGAATTTGTTTAAGCTCCGCTTCGTCGATCGACGGGCTGTCCAATGGCTGCCCCTCTGGCTCGAGAGGTTCACCGCACTCGTACTTGGCCCTTCGATCCCGCAGCTCCTCGACAGCCTTGTCTGCAACAGCCTGAACACGGCGAACCTTCTCTCCATCTGGCTCACAAGTGGGAGGCAGTGGGATGACTCCGCCGAGGGAAAGCGGATGAGGCTTCAGGAGAAAGTCGGGCTCACAGCGAGCAGTGAAGTCCTCGTAGCAGTAGGCGTGTGGAGGGCAAGGCTCGCATTGGGCTTCAATATAGGTGAAGACCCACTCAGGAACCTGAATATCCTCGATATCGAAACGGGAGGCAACCTCTGACGCCCACTCTGGGATCCGAATAGTCGACGGAATAAGTTCGGTAGGCTCCCGGCCCAAGCCACAGTATCCCACCGCAACCTTCTCTTGCCTGTACCAAGCAGCATAGGCGACAAGGAGTGTCGTAAATAGAACCCAGAATGGTGTCGACAAGCTCGACTTCTTCTTGAGAGGAGGCGGCTGCCGAGCAAGAGCGAGCTGAGGATTGGCAGCCTCCTCCTGCATGAGAGCCAACTGTTCATCAGGAGTGAACTCCTCCCCAGCTTCCATCTCTGGTGTCTGAGCCCTGTAGTTGGCAGCAGGGATCTCAAACGTTCGGCTGATTGTAGATGGTGCGGGAGTGCCCCCAAACACGGGGCCGTCCGTCTGACGGCGAGAGGTCGAAGGCGTGACGAATTGCTGTCTCCTCACAGAGTCAAACCCTGACGTCTTGCGACGATGCGAGGGCGTCTTGATCGCTGTTGCGGGAGTGTTCGCCCCACTCTGGAACGGGTTATCACTGCTGAACACGCTCTCTGTCTCTGGCGTACGCTTGAAAAAGTTATCGCGCTGATCCGGCTCTGCCTTGGGTGTCTTGAAAGGAGTTTCGCGGGTAATGGTCCGAGGTGGCTCAGGCTCGGCGGCAGTCTCGGCGTCGGAAAACGATGGTGGTTGCGCGCTGACGGAGCGCGATGTCCTCTTCCGAGGGCTGCTGGCCCGGTTTCGCGCAGGCGTCACCACAGGAAGGTGCTCTGGGTCTTCCGACTCGCGCTTGATCCTCGTAGGCTTCCTTGGCGACCTTGACCGACGCGACACCGAGGCCGGAGGTGGTGGCAGGTCCTCGTAGTCGTTGCCGAAATCAGTGCTGCTCGTGTGTTCGGAATCAGCGTCGACAATACCGCGGCTCATCCGCTTGACACGAGCGCGCGCAGCAAGAATCTTCTTGGACTGCGGAAGCACCTGATCGACAAAGAGCTCGATCAGGTCTGACTTCTTTGCGGTCGATGGATATTGAACATTATAAGTGACCAGAATTGACCGCAGTCGCGGCACCGTCAACGACTTTGGATCGAAGTCCGGCTGCAGGTAGTCGACACTCTCAGTGTCGGACATGGCGGCGGTCGTCTCGTAGGGCGGTGTGGTTGTAGATGGCGGTAATAGCAAGTTCAAATTTAAAAGAAGGGTTGGGAAAGGGAAAGGCGAAGAAGTTGCGACCAGATAGGGAGAAGCTTATCGGCGGGTGCCTTGAGCTGCCTGCGCTTTGTCAGTTGCCGGAGAGCTGCTGCGACAGGTTGGTATGATTCTGTCAATGACGATGCATGCGGCCGATATACAGGCAGAACCTGGAGTCGCGGAGCAAGCGAAGAGTTCCAGAAAACTGAGACACGAGGTGCTTCCCTTCTCTGGACAGATATGAATGAAACGAAGCGGGGGATAAGGAGAAAAAAAGTTCACAGCTTCTGTTGATGTTGCGAAGTGGGCTCGACGCATCAGTACACAAAATACAAGGATGACGAAAGTGGAGTGCCAAGTTTTGGTTGTCGGTGGCAACAGCTGGTGCTTTCACGTGGGGCAAAATCTGGGGTCAGCCACGTGTGGCTTAGCATCATCACTCGCCACTCTTGACATCGACAAGATGGTTCTGAATAGCTTCACTTTGCTCAAATGTGCAATATTGGTCAGATTTCCGGGATATTTTTGATTTTTCTACTTTTGAGGTACCTTCACCTAGCTTTATGAGACAAGAAACCAATTAAAATACTGATACCGCCTTCCAACATAATTAACATAACAACCCTAACCCCGAAAATATGCCCCTGAATTTCCCTTTCCATTACCACGGTTGATTCGTTCTGTTAAAGCACTTGAATTCTCTTGATCTCCCCAGTGCCCTTCTCCTTCTTCTTCTTGGGAACGACAATAAACAAGACACCGTCCTCCAGCTTTGCACTGATCCCATCCGCATCCACCTCCACATCACTGTTCTCCGTCTCCGCAGGCGGCATCTTGATCTTCTTCTCGAACAACCCAACCGTCCTCTCCGCTGTAACCAGCCCCTTCAAAAACTCCTCATCTCCAGGCCTGTAGATCACCCCACTAATCACAAGCACACCTCTCTCCTTGTCCCAATGAACACCCACATCCCGCTTCTTCGCCCCCGGAACAGCAACGTGCACAGCCCAAGCATTGTTCGAATCAAACACATCCGCCGGCGGGCTGGCAGTCTCCTCTCCCTCAAACAACACCCCCTCCTCCCCTCCATTATTCTCCCCGTTGCTCTGCCCACCAGAGAAGTACTCCCTCAGCCCCTTGGCCAAAGGGTGCTGTCCCATCACCCACCCCAAATTCCCCAGCCCCCTCACCGCACTCCCGATATCAATCTGCGGCCCAGAAGCATGTCTCGGCCCACCGAAACCACCTCCCGGTCCAAAATGCGGCGCAAAAGGAGGTCTGCCGAATTCAGCCCCAAATCCATTTGGTCCGCTGCCCCATCCCCAAGAATTGTGTCTCCCGCCCCCAAACCCACGTCCGCAGCGACCCCTTCTTCCGGGCCCACCACGGCACCGACCTCGATGGCCGGGACCGGAAGAAGCAGAGGGGATGTCCTCAGGAGGATCAGGGTGCTCCCTCTCCTTTTCTTTCTCATCCTCAAAGGTAGTCGTAGTAGGGGTGTCGATCCCGTCTCTCAAGGTCGAGGTGCTCTTCATGTCGTCATCATTCTCCGTTTCCTTCTCCCTCTCCCGAGCACGGTCGTATGCCCCCGTGAGGTCGTGCTCAGCTGCCCCGGCGGCGGCAGAGATGTCATACAGATCCTCCTCTACCTCTGGCTCACGGCGGGGATGGCTGTGGTTTCGACTGCGGGAGTGAAGACCATGGTGGCCTCCACGGCCGTGTCTACCGTGACGACCGGGATGGTGGTGATGCCCGTCGGAGTCGTCACCGGTGTCGGCACCAGAGCGAGGGCCAGGGGGCCCGCGACGGTGAGGAGGGGGAGGGTTGTGAGGAATAGCCCAGGATGGGTTGAAGTTGAAGCCTTCGGGGCCACCGCCGAAAAATCCAAAGGGCGGGAAGGGGGGTTGGGCACTTACGCCTTCGTTACCCGGGCGAGTATTGGGAGGTGAGGTAGGGCCGGTGCCGCTGGGGGTCATGGAGCGGATAAAATTCCAGAAGCCTTCAGGGCCGTAGCCGGGAGGGGGAGGGGGAGGTCGGTTTCCTGGGGGAGGACGGCGACCTTGACCTTCTGGGCCATTGAAGGACATGTTGACTGACTGTGGTAATTTTTTTCTTGATGCTAAGGTAGGTAAGTAAGCAATGGTGTGAGCGTAGGTAATAGCGAAGTGTGAAGTGATTGCAAAAATGGTATTCGACCCGACGAGAAGGGGTGTCGAGTCGAGTGTTATATACACTTAAGAGCTAGCTGTTAGCTGATTGCGTACACCCACTTACAAACCTCTCTCCCTGTCAACGCGGCAACTACCTACCTAGTCGAAAGCGATGACAAGGCTGCCCAGACCGCGTCAACGATCTCCTGTTTGCTGCTGGGTTTGTGAAACCCCTTGCGATATCTCCGAGCTGGTGGTTACAAGCTCCAAGAGAGTTGGGTAGTTCTAGGTGTGCCCCTCGAGCTCTTGTCCCATGCTAAGGAGGGGCACTAGGGGCAAAGTGAGGACGGGACAGTCATTTGCCACTTCATGATGACGACGCTCCCTTTCTTTCTCGGTCCACTTCATTGCGCAGTTGTGCAGAAAGACCCCCAGGAAAAGACCAAGCTTTCTTATCTGATTGATCATCAACACGTGGATAGCGCATACATGCTGTGGTGCTATGTCGCAATCACAAGCGCTAGTGTCAACTTATTAGAGCATAAATGCTGCGCATGTGAGCCATATTGTACTACACAAAGCGCAGCAGAAGAATGATATAGAAGTAGTATCGCCGCGCGTTTCTGTTGAAATCTCGAATCATTGTCATTGTCATTGTCATTGTCATGGTCATGGTCGTGGTTATTGCTATTCAAGATAGCCAGGTCTTGGTAGGAGAGCACCCACGCGGCCTCTAACTCACTGAATAGGGGCTCCACAAACCACCACATCACCCGCTTCGGAGAGATCAAACCGGTCTCCGAGCTCACCGACCGCCGATGCCGTCTTGCCGTCTTTTCAGCTTCCTCGGTGTTCACAGGCCGGTAGACAATGACACCGAGCCCCGACGATACAAGCCAGGTGGTAAACGAGACATAAAAACAGATAGTCAACGTTGATAGTGTATTTTCCTCGTCCTCCCGTTGGGTATCTCCTACTATGCGCCTGCTCTTGGGTTCTCAGACGAACAAGGCGTACAAACCCCCAACTTCTACACAACACATAGACATGTGTAGATTCAGTGCTGATCCTGATTGTACATATAGGTAATATAAGCAGACATGAATGCCTAAACGCCTGTCGTTGTTGAAATTCCCATTCGCTCATGTTGCAGATGTCATGCTCCCCGGCCTTTGCCCAAATTATCGCAACTTTTCCTTCCGAGATATGATCCCGCGCCCGAGTCATCAGATAATAACCGTATTGTAAAACGTATTGGATGCTGGATTAGGCACCCCCAGTCTCGGCCAGCTTCTTCTCGGCCTCTTCAGCCCGCTTATTAGCTTCCGCAACCTGCTGCTGGAGCTGCTTGATATACTCAATCGCCATCTCCACTGTGCTCGCCTTGCTATTTGGCGCACCGCCATTCCTCTCTCTTTCCTTCTCCTTCTCCTTCTCTTTATCCTTACTCTTATTATCGCTGCTGCCTTCCCCTTCACTGTCCTTTGGTGGCTTTGGCAGCAAGGTGGCAATCTCTTGTAACGCCGAGTTGATCCGATTCCGCCGACCTTGCTCGGCAATCTTGTGAGATGTCCGCTTGGACGTGAGATTGGTGGAGAGCTCGCTGGGGTATGACACACCGGGCACTGTGTTTCCCTCGAGGATCCGCTGGTAGTTGGATTTGCTGGCAAGAAGTTGTGACGCCGTCTCCTCAAGGTCTGCTCCGCCCGGCAGCAATGGTTTGATGTTGGGTGAAATCGAGATCTTGGGCCTAAGAGCCGGCGAGACAGGAATCGAGCTGACACTCCCCCGCTTTTTGCTATTTCTTGGGAGGAGCTGTGGTGTCCGCTTCGCTCCATATCCCGAACCAGGTCCCAGCTGTGGGCTTGCTGTGGCTGAGACTGTTCCCGACGGCCTTACCACAGTGGGACCCAGTGAAGGTGATGGCAAAGGTGCAAGAGATGGTGTTCTGGATGGTCCGGCATCTTGAGGGGCTTGTTTTGGTGTCGGGGTGTCGTTGGCGTGGCTGGGTGGGACATTCACGTTGGAAACGGATTCAGGCAACTCAAATAGCTCGATATTTTCGGTATCGACCACTTCATGGCTGCCAGCCCTGCTAGCTCCAGCCACGGTGGTGTGGGTGCTCGGCGAGCTGAGTTTCATCAGAGATGCTGGTGTGGCAGGTGATGCCACGCCAGGCCTGGGTGGTTGAAGAGCAATGACCGGAGCTGATCCGGTATTTTGAGGTGCAATGTAAGGAGAGGGCTTCGCAGATCGTGGTTTGGGGAGCGGGGGCGGTGGCATCTCAGTCTCGATGGGTGTCGTATGATTCAAGGCTTCTGGTGATATCGAGCCATCCTCTGAATCTGTCGGCCCGGTTGTGGTCGATGAAGATGAGTTGTGCATCATGGATGTAGGCAACGGTTGATGGTCTTGACCCTGCTCTGCATTCTCCATCAAGTCACTCAGAGCTTGTGAGTTGAGGCTTGGTGTGGTTGCCAGTCGTTTCCTGAGGGGCTTCGAAATTGGCGACTGCTTCACGCCCGCCTTTGCCCTCGCCTTGGCCGCATTCTTCCTCATTTTCTTGGCCAGGTCTCCCGGTGTGCCGATCGACATGGTCCCTCCAACGGCGTCGAGATCCATATCCGTGGGCGAGCTGGTTGTCAGGGGTCCATGTCTTTGCTCAAACATGGCCAATGGGTCTGTTTGGGCGTGCAGGGCAGGTGACGTTAGTGGGCTAAAGTAGGCCCCCGGAACAGTAAATTGGGATTCGACCGAGAAGTGGGTGTCCAAAGGCGTGACGGCGGGTGAAACCAACGGGGTGAAGGACATCTGAACGCCGTCAGCAAACCTGTTGGCTGATCCGGGATACGGACTTGAACAAACATCAGACTGGTCCTTCGCTCTCTGATACCTATAGTCTACGGCCTGCTGTGGGTGCTGCTGTTGATGTGGGTGTTGTGTTCGGTGTGGGTGCGGGTGTTGCTGCTGTGGTTCTGTGGCATTCCGCTGGGCATAGAAAGGGTTGGCAGCTGGAACCATCTCCAGACTCTGTGGTGTCGGTGGAATCATGCGGTTCTGTTGCTGATGAGCAAAGAAGGCTGCGTGTTCTTCCACCTGCCGCTGCTGAGCCTGCATCTTTTGCTGTTGAAGAAAGTGAATTTGGGCGTCAATGCTGTTCACAATCGTCTCGCTTGGTGTTGGAGGCGGCATCATGGTGGTGGGTATAGACTGGTAGGGACCCCCCGTTGTTGTGATGGCCGGCACCTGATGCTGCATCGCTGGCATCGATGGTGATAGGAGCATAGGTGCATCGCTTCCTGTCATTGGGGTGTCCAACTGCTCGCGCCCGGGAACCTGCAGCATGTGCGCGCCGGCAGAGGACTGGAAACCTTGGAAATTGTAGTCGATGCCCTCTGCCAGGTTGTTCATGTTGGTCATGTCCAGATATTGCTGAAAGTCATCTTCGGCCGTAGTGGTATGAACGCCATGGTCCCCGACAGGCCACCCAGAAGAATCCATTGCGGGTTAGGCTGTGTGTGCCACTTGTGTCTGATGATCCGTGGGTTGTGAGACACGATCTGGCGGGCGGGATATCTCAAAAGGTCAAAAAGGTGGTTGGCGGATCCGCCGCGCTTTCGTTTTTTCCAGTCTTGGCGAGTTCTATGATTCTTTCCTTGCTCCTGTGTCCCAACACGACGGACGATGCCCGACTTCTCGTTCAACTTCAAGATGGATACGACAGTGGCGTTCTAGTTGCGCGCTCAGGGGAGAGTCACCGGCTCGGGTAAAACCGTTATCGTTAAACGGCCTTGAGCTTTCGGCGGGCGGGATATCTGTATCGTTCTCGGGCGAGCGGTCACGGAACGGGAAGAGCTCAATGGGCGCGCAACAGGTGTCCTCGTCGGGGTCGGTAGAGCGCAGGGCAGCACCCGTCGCGGTTGGGTTGAGCACGGCAAAGGGTCCACGAAATTTGTCTCCTGGTGTGACTGGCTGCGACCGACGTTGAACGGCAGACATTCAAAAGGGTTGCGGCTCTGAGGTGTTCTGATAGTGGGGGGGGGCCACAGATTGAAATGGAAACCAAGTCCGCTATGGTCAGTGCGCGCTGCCCCACGATGTTTGTCTCCCACACCTCGAACCCCCCATGTCCTCTCTCCCACTTTCCCCCGCGCCAACCAGCCCCAAGCAGCGCTTCCGGAACGGCAGGTGTCGCGCTGAAAGCTCTGACGGGTATTAAGTAAGGCCCCCAAATAATCATTACCTCAACTTCCCCTCGAGAGCCTCCCGACGCCGGCCACACTCACACCTGGGACTCAACACTAAGCCGTCCTCCTATGGGGCGACAAGCCCTTGGCCATGCCCTGGAAAAATTGGTCGAGCTGATGAGGCCCATGGCAGTTTCATCGGCAAGCTACGGCAGATGATACCTCGTCCCTCGACCCGGAAAGCTTGAGCTCGAGTTGGTCAGGCACCATCTCGCTAGAGAATAGTGCTAGAGCGGTGGTTGTCAGGGTCTCGAACAATTTCGTGGGGGGTAGATAGATGGGTTAGATGTATGCCCCTCTGGATCTGGTCAATATTCTACCCGTAGGTATTCCGAGGTGGCTTTCCCTCGTGATCTGCATTGTACCACATGGTTGTGTGCCTTTTCCAGACATGTGCTCGGTAAGATTAATGTAGACATGGCTGCCGTGCATGATGGTTGAATTTGAGGAAGCGAGGGTGTTCCTGGGTGATCAAAGCTCCACCTCTTGCATGTCAACTGCAGGCGTTGAATAATGAATCCACCATCACATCGTGAAAGCCTTCAAAGAACCCCACGCTTGACAGGTTCAAAGTTGGGGGCTGGGCCAGCGGGTTTGCCATTGCGGACCTTGAAAGTCAGCTTGTCATCGGAGCGCGTCCTCCGTGAGAGGTGTTGGGGTGAACAGCTTCTTCTTCTTCTTCCTTTCTGGAAACATGTTTTTCTAGATTCGTTGACCGAAGGCCCTAACCACCCTGAATGTCGCGAGTGGCGCACCCTCTAGACGTAACGAAGGTTGCATTTCCGGCCAACAACTGTGGTTGCTTTTTCAACTCCCGCTCCAATCTCGTGGGTTTAGTGCTCTGCCATGTGTCTAAGGGTTCCGGCTTCTGCCGTAGTGCGAAAACAAGCTTTTGATGACTGATGTAAACTCAGCCTGGAAATGGGATTTGCCTTGAACGCGGGTAACAGTCAAAAAGCGGAACGCGACTGGAACTTTGTTACTAGTGAGAACTTTGGGCCTTATTACTCAGGACATACAGCCATGATATTTTTATGTGTTCTACTCAACGGCCAATTATAGACCAAAGAGCCCAGTCCTAAATACAATCCCACATAATATCCAAACATCCCTCATTCCTCTCTCCTCTGCTCTCTGCCCCCTCCACCTCACCCCCATTCAAATATCCTTCCACCCATGGCTGCCATTAGCAACCGTATTGCCCATTGAGCATGTCCAACACGATTATTGGAGAAAAAAAAGGAAGATTTTAACAAAGGTAGAAAACCAAGGAGCGCCACAGCCATGACCAGATAATCCAGTGAGACTGATGAGAGGGTAATAACTTAACAAAAAAAGGAAAACACAGTGGTATCATCGGATCTTATGAAGCGAAGACCCCTCAAAAAAGACAATATTAATGACCAAACCCGGGTCGCCAAAGCAATGCTAGCAGTGCTGGGTGAAGAAAGAGAAGAGAAAAACAAACAGCCGATTGTACAGAGCGGAAGAAAAATGCCAAAACAAAATATGCACAGTGTAAGAAAAAGTAAAAAGTCCGGTGATTTTGTGAGCCCAAAAGGAGATCTAAAGGCGAGTGTCCACGGCATCCAAGACCAGTAGATGATGGAAGGAGGCATGTCGTGGGTATCAAGCGTCATAAAGATGTTTTGGTCGGGATAGCGGTCGAGGCGCGGACGCAGAAGTGTGTTGGACTTTAGCCAAGGTTGAGCCAGCTCATATCATCGCGTACAGCAGATGGCTGCTTGCGCAGAGGCGCCGGCTCAGCAGGGGGCTTGGCTGCAGAAGCTGGAGCGAGAGCCGTGGCGTAGATGCCAGTGTTCGATGAGTTTTGTCGCTCCATGCCCCAAGGCCGGTTGTTGCTAGCAGTAGGATCCCAGGCTTCATGAACAGACTCTGGAATGCCGCTCGAATAGGCCGACATGGAGAGGTCGCTCACCGCGCTGATCGGACGCCCCCTCTCGATCTGAGCACTCATGCCTTCGTTGAACTTGGTGTTGTTATATGTGGCGATGGTGGGGCTGTGAGAGTTGACACGGCTGAATGATAGACGAGGCTCGTAAATCTGAAGGCGAGGCACAGTAACGCTGTCCTGGGTCATACGGTTCTGCTGATCACTGTACTTGGAGCTCCGCTCTGAGTGTAGGGTAGTCCGCTGCGAATTGTTCTTGGTATTCGAGTTGCTGTTGCCAAAGCCGAGCATGTTAAGCGCCGAGCCTCCAGACCAGTAGCGATTCCAACCAGAGCTTCTGCGAGTGCTTTCTCGCTTGTCCGTTGTGGTCAGGTTCCGTGGTCTTGGTTCAGCCGTCTCGGTAGTAAATGATACGCCTTTCTCGTCCCGCATGGGCTGCGGGGATGGCGCCTCGGGAAGGATGGGCTTGCTGATTGTGCTCTTGAACGCTCTGAAAACGCTGTCTCCAGAATCGCGCTTACTGCCGTTGCTGGACTTGCTGCCCTTGCGGCCTATGCCTGGTAGCCTTGGCTTACTCTCACTAGCGCGACCCATGAGGATGGCCATGGAAGAGAAGGAACTCTTGGAGCCTTGAGACTGGTGTCCCCGGAATACCCCAGCTGGACCCTGACCGAAGGCAAGGCTGTCCTTGGCGTAACCAATACCGTCCTTTTCGCTTGAAGACGCGCCGCTGGATCTTCTAATGTGGCCAGCCTCTGCATGAGCCTGCTGTCTCGTGCGTCTCTGCAGGCAGAAATAGATCAGACCCAAAATGAGCGCCAGTCCAAAGACAGACCCAAGCACAGCGCCGAGGATCATGTTGACGTTTGAACCGGAGCCACCAGCCACAGGAGCGTCTGTTTCGGTTGGGGTTGCCGTTGCCGCAGCGGCAGCATCGCTAGTAATCGTAGCCAGCGTCGAGGATGTCGACGTGGAGAGTGTCGCGGTTGTCGAGGTAGCAGTTGTCGAAGACAGCGTAGTCGATGATTCTTCATCATCCAGAGAAAGAAGTCTGACTTGACCAAGCATTTCTGTGGCATTCTGCCAAGTATTCGTCGTCGTGTCAAACATGGCTACCGGGTCCTCACTATTACCACCGGCAATCACAACCATTCCATCAATATCCTTAGCCAGGGCGAAGTTTGTTCGCGTTGTTGTTGGGGCGAGCGATGAGTTATACGCCGGCCAGTTATTCAGTGTTAATGGCTCAGATCTCCGCCTCTGCTGCCTGGCAGCACTCCGCGCCCTTCTCCTGGCGGACCTCTTGGTAACTGGTGCGGCGGCTGCTACTGGCTGTCCTGGGCCAGTGTAGAGGACAGTCCTCCTCACAATGTTCGGTGACTCGGTCATGTCGAAGGTGAGCAGGTTCTGTGACCCATCGGCGCCACCCAGAAGCACGGCCTGAACTGCTGAAGCATCTTTGAGTGGTGATGCGAGCGTTGCCCTAGAGTCTCGCCACTTCCCCTCCTGGTTATTGAAGAGATAAACCTGTTTGTTGTCGGGATTACCACCAAGCATAACAGCTTCGTGAGTAGACCAAGGCAACAGAATGGGCTTTACCGCTGGTGGCGCCCATGATTCGTGAGAACGAATAGTATGTGGTGCGGCTGCGCCGACGGTGAATGTCTGCGATGATGCTTGACCCTCTGAGCCACCACCATATACCAGAATAGAGTCTGTGCTGTTGAGGTAAACAGCGCTGTGTCCTGTCCTGCCGCTAATATCGAGGGTATCCACGGGAACGTTCTCCCATTGACCGGTCGAGAAGGTAAACTTCTGAAGCCCCAGATACTCTGGGTTGCCCCCCTTTCCTCCAACCACAAAGAACGCCGACGTCGCTGGATTTCCTGTTGTCGAGCCGACGCAAGCACCACCCGTGACCTTCTCGCCCTGAGGTAAAACCTCCCACTCGGCACCTGGTTCGAGCCTCAAAGACTGAAATGCGTCGGCCGAGTATGTGTAAAGCGTGTGGTCGAAGATGACGGAACACGCGTCATTCAAGGGTGTCTCTGGCTGAGGGAGAGACATTGTGATTGTGTACCCGTCTCGTCAGTCGCGGTGATGAGCGACCTAGAGATCAATTACTTCCTCCGAGTTGACAAACGTAAGAAAGGGTGGCGATGGTGTCCTCCGAGTTACAAGAACATGTCGAGTCCCGTCCTTTTTACTGTCGATTCGAAGGGTGTCGAGTCGTTGGGCAAACGTTCACTTTGGGGAGCAAGATGAAGTGGTTGCTCCCAAATCGAAAGAATATCAAAACCAAGGAGCCCCGGAGAAGGATTGGCACAGAGAGGCACGGTGTTTGATCCGGACTTTTCCTTGAGCTGCTGTGGTCACTGTGGCACACTCTGCACAACCAGCAACACGGAGAATAAAATGATGGTGATCTGGAAAGTTGAGGGCCGGCCCTTGCTGGGAAGCAAAAGAGGATGATCGACGGAACAAACTTGTTGCTTTGTTTCCCGACAAAACGGCGGTCGATCGTGTCAAGGAAGAAACAAACTCGTCTCCTTGGTTCCCGTCCTGAAAGGGGGCGTTCGTGTCGCAAGATGGGGCGAGGGGGGAGCGTCTGAGCGTATGTGTTGTTTCTCTCAATCAAAGCCAAGCTTTGGTGACGAGAAAAAACTGAAGTTCTGGAAAACTGTGCCGGACGAGTTTCAATTTTTCCCACTCACGATGCAATTCGCAACTCTCAAGAGGCGAGCAAAACGACAAACGACGACGACAAACACGCGAAGCGGAAAGAGGAGAGAAAGACGCGAGAAGCAAGAGACGGAGAGAGAGAGGGAGATTGGGAGACAGCCGGCCAGTGTGACCGAGACATCGGGCGAGGACCGCCAGACCGCACCACAGAGAATGAACTCGGGGAGAGTCTGACCAGGGGAATGGGAGCCGGGGGCTTGGTCGAATCAGAAATGCCAATGGAGCTGGCAGGGTGGTCCTGGACCCTCATTTGTAGCCCATCATGCGAGTGACCTCCAGTCGCATGCAACTGCAGTGGGTCAGCCATGTAGCGGGGGCTTGTGAGAGACCTTGTCCATCTTGCGCAAGGGGGAAAAGGGGCACAGGCGCAAACAGAAATTGGCCAGTGTGGTGCCTCGAGGCCTGCAAATCAACGACAAACCTCGGCTTGCCCGTCTTCGACTCTTCCATCCCAATCTTGGTGTTGCACAAAACAGCCAATCCAACCATCCCAGACCGCGAAATTGTTTTTGATGGGGGCATTGAGGATTGGATTCACCATGGTGGAGATGGTTTAAGATGATCCACTAGCACGTGTGGTTTGGCCGTTTGTTCTCCAGTTTTGTCGAACGACCGACATCGAGAGACAGAGGGAGCAGATGATCTCCGTTGAGTCGTTGACGGAGACTCTTCGTTCACTTGAGCTTGTCACCTCGTGACTGATGATTGGAGAGGCGTTCGTGTTCGTCCAGTCTTTTTCCGTGTCGGCCGCTCGGCGGGGAAATCGCTTTGGTGAACCAAGCACAAGGTGACATGGCGCTGAGGCTACCACCAAATGGCAACCCTGCACTTGAAACGCTAGCCTCCTGGCAGTTCCCCTGGCGCTAACCCCAAAACGGCTCGAGAGAAGAACGTTGAACGAACCCCACCATGCGGCCCGTGGCCTGTGGCTCCTCGGTGCTCTTCAAGAAAAAAAGAAGAAATGGAGTCGGCTCGAATTGCTTGTTTGCAAAGGCTTGTCTACTATGATGTCAGTTCCATGGATACACTACTGTAAATTTTGATCTTCCAACATGTGTTGCAAGTGCAAATCTCTAGTCCTTCTATGACCAGGACAAGTGTAGCAGTGTAGGTACCAGATAGCTGGAGTGGCTGACCGGACCTTGATAAATGACCCCTCCATCAGCAGCGGCGCGGCTCACAAACTCCAAGGCGCATTCAGGCACAGCGAGATATCGGAGGAACTTTCTCCTGAGATACACATCAACCAGCTGGTCATCATTTATAAAAAGGAATCAGCATTTTCCACATGTTGGGATCTACGTGTAAAGATCTATATAGACAAATTTTCGGCGGCGCGCGCCTTATTATGATCTATCAATATACTGATCTCATCTTCCAGACCAAGATAGATGATATCAGAGCGCCTCAACGGCTCTAGTAAACCCCCCTTTCTTGAAAAACCTGTATTCTTTCCCCCTCTCATTTCGGTCCCGTTCAGAATGTTGCCATCACACAGCATGAAGCCAGGATACCCTCAAATCGGTGTCCTTGTCCTCCATAGCCGCCTGGTGAGGCCCAAGAGACCAGCGCCTCCAAGCATCCCCACCCTCATCGGTGATGTTGACCACGGTGAACAGCAGCATCCGGCGGTACGGTCACGACCATGATCCGATAGACCGACCGCTTGAAGCGGCCACTACGGCCCTGTCAAAGATGCATAGGTTACCAGCTTCAGCCGCCTGAACGTTGCACTCTCTCCACCTCAACCTCTGCGTGTCGCCCATGCATGTCATCACACAAGCACCTTTTTCACATAGGTAGCTAAATCGCTCCTCACTCCAAACCTCTCTACATCTCCATTCGCATCAGCAACATCACTTCACACCCAATCAACACCCCCAAGCTTTTTCACTAGGTAAATATCAAATTCGAGTCACCACACCACCCCATCACCTGTCAAAACCGCCTTCCCCCGCCTTCCCCAATCTATACGCGCTGGAATGCACAAATAAACCAAAGTAGAAGCGGGAATGCAATGCACGACAAGTACCCCAAGAGATATGCAAGATCCAGCCAGATGTGTACCTTACCTTATGCATTCCTCCCGTTGGAAAAAAAAAAGGCGGCGTCAGTGGCTTGCGTATTGTTGACCAATCGACCCCTCCATTGATATGCTGCTTAAGCGCCCACGGCGTCCCTCCCTCTTGAACCACCGAGGGAAGCATAATTCAACCTTTAAACCGCAGGACCCAGTAGATACTCCCCAAGACAAGTGGTTTTGTGATATATTATGCTTGGAAGCGCCTATGGCGACGTCACGTTCTCCTAAAAGTTTTGTCCATGAGGTGATCGCCTGGCTTAGCTTCAACATTATTCTCTGCAAGCGCCACATAGAATCCGATGTAAAAAGCATAAGCTGTGAGAGTCAAGCACACAGTTACAGTCACAGGAACCAGCCAAAAGAAGCAAGTACAAAGAAGAAGTCGCTTTAAGCGACATATATGTAGAACTTTATTAACCCGTCTCCCCAAGTCCCATTTCCATATCCACCACCGCCCCATGAGTTGCAGTCTACAAGTTCCTCCCCGCTTTGCCCAACCAGAATGAATCGCTATGTTATACAATAACAGAAAGTTTTTTCTTGCCTGTTCCCCCCCCCCCCCCAAAAAAAAAAAAGTAAAAAGAAAACACCATGCCTGCATAAAAGCCATCCCCGTGAACGCTGATGTCAGCTCGTAACATCCGCTGGTATCATTGTAGAAAGCACCAAAAAAGTGCCCGTTTCCCAAATCTCAAAACTCCAATCCGCGCCCAGTCGTCGTCTTCCGCCGACTGACCAAGGCATATGCATACACAAGTGCATTGTTGAACCCAGAAAGAAAACAAAAGCCCCGACTCTGCATCCACCTCATTTTCCCTCCTCTTTGTTCCTATGTTGCCTGTCATTCTCAACCGTAGCCTGGTTAATGGATTGAAACCATCATCGCGGGTGCCATCTAAGCAGGCGCGGTGAAGGCAGCAGGTGGCAAATTGGCCCGTTGCTCCTCAAAAGACTGGAGAGCAAGATCAAAGTTCCAATTGGCTGTGCCGGACAGACAAAGCTCCGAATACTGGGCGTTCATGCCGGTGCGCCTCGCCAGCTCTTGGATAAGCTGGACCCTGGTGGCATCGTCGATGACAGGCACCGCAGCCACGACCGGAGCGACGGGAGCAATAGGCGCAGCGGGGGCACCGGTGGTTACTGGAACAGAAGCGGCTCCGGCAGCCCGCGGCGTCCATTTGTGGATAGTGAGCTGGTCACTGAGAACCCGGTAGGGGTGAGGGGCGCCTGGTTTGCTGGGCCCGAGGATGAAAGAGCGGGAAAAGGTACGAGTGCCATAAAGCTCCTCGGTCGTATCAGCTTCTTCAAATTGCCCGTGGACGTTAATCATCAAGCCCATCGCGAAGCCGTGTCCCGAGGGGTCCGCCAAGTGGGGGAACGTATGGCAGTCGATAATCCACAGTTCGGGCTGGTCCAGAGTGGCATGACGAGTGGCCGGCAGCGACTTCCACATCTCTGCAATGAGCGAGGCGCCGGTGAAGAGACGCTGGACGACTGCTGGGTTTCGGCTCCCTCCAAGCTTTTGAATGTTTCGGGAGTATTTCATGTAGGGTTTCCACTCAACGTCACGGCCGGGTTCAGGTGTGGCAGAGAGCGAGGCCACGGACTCGGCATCGTAAAATTGCGCAGCCAAGGCCGGTCGGTCGTGGTCGTAAAGCTGGAAGAAGGACCGCAGAAAGATGCTGGCAACGTTGTTCTCGCCGTCGCGGAGATTAGAGGGCAGCTGGGCCAACGGCTGTGGAGTCATCGCCTTCAAGGCCTCAGCAGCCTCCTGCGGACTCCGGACAATGTTTCCATCCAGGATTTGCAGGCAAGGGAACCATTGGGTGATCTGCACGGCGTAATCGGCAACGCCGGTGACAGGGTTTCCGACCAGGTAAAGCTCTTCTAGATAACGGAACTCCTGCTTCCATTTGGCAATTGAAGAGAAGGTCGCGAGCCGATTGTTGCTTAGGTCGAGCCGACGCAAGTGTGGCAGCGAATAGGCTAGTGTAAACACCTGGTCGACGTCCGAGATCTCGTTACGAGCAAGGGAAACTGACTGGATGCCTTGCCTTTTCTCCTCAGCGGTCTTGAATTGCTCGCCAGCGACATGAATGATGGCCCTGAACGACTTTTCAGCTAGTGATTGGGAACCGACTGCGCCGAGATTTCCAAGGATGTCGTCTGTTCCGAGCGCTGACAGATCAAGAAGTTTCTGCTCAGCATTGTATCGCTTCGCCAACAACGCAAGAAGCTTCTGTCGGGTGTCTGCAGCGTCTTTTGAGAACTTGGTGCCAGTAGGGAATGGCTCAGTGGTTTCCTCGATGGTGATGGGAGCACCGGCGTACTGGTACCCGTTGAGGTGCATAATGCTAGACACGTCGTCCTTGTTGGCTTTGACCCAGACGTAGTCGCCATCTAGCACACCCTGGTGTATGTTAATATATGATTAAATTCAAGAAGAAAAAAACGGGACAACATACTCTTCCCAAGACGATCTTCTTATCCTTATCAGCCTTGCGCTCAATGAATTGGAGAAGTCCCTTGACACCGCCATCGGAATTCGACGCGGCCTTGCTATTCTTGACACCCAGGATCTTGAGGGTGGTTTTGGCGTGCTTGGATCCACCTTCGCCGATGTAGTTCTTGAGGTTCTGAGCCAGACGCGAAGATGTTCTAGAACCCCTCGCAGGCGCTCCTCTCGCAGCTCCTCTGCCGCGAGTTCCCCTGCCGGACGGTCCAGTTGGTGGATTGGAACCTGAGATCGGCGCGCCCATGGAAACATCTCCATCACGATCGGTTCTGGTGGCAGCTCGATGTTTAGCGACTCCGCCACGGGAAGCTCGAGCTGTTGGCTTGCGATTATTGCTGCCGCCGCGAGGACCAGTAGGAGGGGCCATCGTGATTGGGATCGGAAGTTGCTTGAGAGTCGCGGAACTGATCTGCAACAGACACGAGTTTGGTCGTCTGCACAGCCCTGTAAGATAAAGTCGCTCGAGAGGAGAGCCAGAGGCGGAATCAGTGGCTCAGGTTTGGAATGGCTGGGAGTCGCCACAAGCGCGAAAAAAACACCTGCTAGGTGAGTGAATGTAGTAAGGTTGGCCGAATGTTGGCTCGGCTAACAAAGAGAGTAGAGAACCAATATCTCAGTTTTGGTGGTGCTGGTTGCGTCACAAAGAGAAGTAGGTGTTGTTGTGGTTGTTGTGGAGCTGGAACAAAAAGATGGATCGACTTTCAGTTGGCTGTGACTGCATACCTGCCACAAACCTTGCACCAAGTGGGGTTCTGCCTGAGCCAAGGGCCCACCGTTCCTGGATAGTCAACCAATCGTAGCTTTTGCCGATGCTCCCGTGCTGGGGTGGCTTGGCAAGTTTGCTCACGCATTGACACGTGATCTGGTGTATCGTCGCGTCTTGAGTATGAACAATAGATCGCGTCTTCTTTGGAGACGATGCACGTCACTTCCAGGCCAGACAGGACCTTCAAGATGACATAAGAAACAAAACGGCAGACATTCCAAGCAATTCGGACACTTGTAGTCACAGCAATGGTCGGTTGGTTACCCTTCGATAGATCACCACACCTTCCACAGGTCAATCACACCTCCCATAGGTCAATCGCAGACGGTCATTTGGCATTTCACGCACGCCTCAATTCACCCACCTCAGCTCACCTTCATCCCAGCTCACCCAACTCAATCCCTTTTTCTGAATACTTTTTGTAGCGATATAGCGCAATGGATGATGAGTTTGACGAGACCTTTGATTTTGATGACGACTTGATCGCACTCACTCAGGTCGCCGAAGCCGAAGCGGCCGCGGCAGCAAATTCCACTGCTCACAGGCCTCAAGAGTCTGCTGTCAGAACGCCAGGAACTCCTCCTTCAGTACCTGCAGCAGCCCGGGTAAATACGGCAGCTGCAATCTCGGAATTCGACGATTTGCCATCAGATGCATTCGACAGTTCCCCACAGCCACCAAACAACCAGAAGCGGCCGAGTCAAGTGCCACCTCCAAGAGCTACTCCTATATCCCAAGGACAAGGACAAGGCTTCCGGCAAACAACACTCTGGGGAGGCACTGCGCGGCAGGGCAGCATTCGGCCATCACAGGTGACTAAGAGTCGCCCATTTCGCGCTGACCTGCCCCCAGAGATACCCACTCATCATGAACTCAATGACTGTGAGCTTTCAACATGGGTCTATCCGTTGAACTTGGGCCCAATTCGAGACTACCAGTTTACCATTGTCAACAGTGCTCTGTTCAACAACACACTTGTGGCTCTGCCCACCGGTCTGGGCAAAACTTTCATCGCCGCCACGGTTATGCTCAATTTCTATCGATGGACCAAACGAGGGAAAATCGTATTCGTCGCACCCACCAAACCCTTGGCATCCCAGCAGGTCAAGGCTTGTCTCGACGTTGCGGGCATCCCACGGTCCGAGGCAACACTCCTAACAGGAGAGACGGCTCCGGCTTTACGTGAGGCTGAATGGGAGACCAAGCGGCTATTTTTTATGACGCCGCAAACACTTCAAAATGATTTGTCTAAAGGCTACGCAGATCCAAAGTCGGTTGTTCTTCTGGTAGTCGATGAAGCCCATCGAGCCACAGGCGACTACGCCTACGTGAAAGTAATAGAATTCCTCCGCCGATTCTCACAGAGTTTCAGGGTTCTTGCACTTACGGCAACTCCCGGATCCTCCGTGGAAGGCGTCCAAAATGTCATTGATAATCTCGGTATCTCCCACATCGAAATCAGAACAGAAGAGTCTTTGGATATTCGACAATACGTTCACTCGAGAGACACCAACACTATTATACTCGACCCATCCGACGAGATGATGGAAGTGAGAGGCCTCTTTTCCAAAGCCCTCCAGCCTCTGGTCGACAAGTTGAGCGCCCAGAATATTTACTTTGGAAGGGATCCCATGAGTCTGACTACCTATGGCCTGATGAAATCGAGAAGTGACTGGCTTGCCGGAGCTGGCAGACACGCAAACCAGGGATTAAAGTTTGCCATGTTCGCCGTGTTCAGCATTCTTCAGAGCCTGGCGCACTCGATAAAGTTGTTAAATTTCCACGGGATCAAGCCATTTTATCACAACCTGTTGGAGTTTCGCAATTCGGAGGAGGAAAAGGGGGGAAAGGGTTCCAGCATGAGGCGGCAGGTCATCAATGACGAAAGCTTCAAAAAGATGATGACCATGATCGAGAAATGGATGAAATTGGACGGCTTCAGTGGGCATCCCAAGCTGGATTGTCTCTGCGAGACTCTTATGCATCACTTTATGGATGCCGGGGAAGGGTCCAGCACAAGAGTCATCGTCTTCAGCGAGTATCGGGACAGCGCCGAGGAGATTGTGCGAGTTTTAAACAGCAAGCCTTTGATCAGCGCCACAGTCTTTGTGGGTCAAGCAGATTCCAAGAGAAGTGAAGGTATGAAGCAAAAGCAGCAGATTGAAACGATTGAGAAGTTCAAGAACGGCCAGTACAATGTTCTCGTCGCCACATCCATCGGCGAAGAAGGTCTCGACATTGGCCAAGTTGATCTTATCGTCTGTTATGACGCGTCATCCTCTCCGATCCGCATGTTGCAGCGAATGGGACGCACGGGGAGAAAGAGAGCAGGCAAAATTGTGCTTCTCTTGATGAAGGGAAAGGAACAGGAGAAGTTTTTGGAGGCGAAGGACAACTACGCAAGAATGCAGCAGCTCATCTGTGATGGCGATAGTTTCAACTTCCGGCATGACCTATCTACGCGAATTATCCCAAGAGATATAAAGCCAGAAGTTGATAAGCGCATGGTGGAGATACCGATTGAGAACACACAGGATCCCTCCCTGCCTGAGCCTAAGAAAGCAGGAGCGCGGAAGAAAGCATCGAAGAAAAAGTTCAACATGCCCGATGGTGTAGAGACTGGGTTCGTCAAGGCATCCGATTTCTTTGGGAAAGCAGCTGCCAAAAAAACAGCACCACCCAAACCGGTCGAGCCGCAGGAGACTGACGAGATCGCGGAACCACCTCCTCTTGGAAAGGTCGTTTTGAGCAAAGCGCAGATCGAGGAATTGGACAGACGGTATCGGAGTCTGCCAGGAAACGCAAATGCCGAGGTTGGGCCTATCGATTTTGGTGGTCATTCTCAGAGGTTCCTGCGGCCAACATCCCTTGTGAGACATGGCAAGAAGACAAAACGATTTGTCAAGCTGATGAAAAAGTTGGGAGACAGCCAGGACCCCTTCGAAAAGTTCACAGCACCATATGGAGATACTGACATGTCTAACTGGGGGGATCTTCCAGTCCCCATCTTTGCGTCAGATACGGACGCTTCTGAAGAAGAAGACTCAACTGGAACAGGGACGGGTGGCAACCGAGGCAAAAAGCGCAAAGTGCTTGCAGCAAGGCCTGATGAGGAAAGCGAAGAGGAAGATGGGGACGGATTGGAGACTGCTTCACCTCCAGCCCGCAAGAGGAGTGCTGGAGGCAAGAAGGCAGCAAAGAGGAAAGGCCGGGTGGCGCGGAAACTGGACGAAATAGGGGATGACTGTATGCGGACGAGTGATATGGAGATTACGGATGGGTCAGACGATGGTGCCGACCTAGAAGATTTTGTTGTCGACGATGATGCGGACCTGTTCGGCTCGAGTGCCAATCAAAAGTCAAAGTCGAGGACACCTGGCTCTGCAAAGAAGCAGCCGTCAGCAGAAGAAAAACCTTTCTTCGAACCCATGGATTTTACTGCGACGCAGGATTCAGATGAGGAGATGCCGGATATCACGGAGCTGCTGAAGTCGTCGGTGAAGAAAACGAAGCATAGCATGGCGGCGACAGCTTTTGGCACAGAGGGTAAGGAGGATCTGTCGTCGGAGCCGACGACGCCACGGAAGAAGAAAAGGCGGATCTTTGTTGCTGACAGTGATGATGATGAGTGAGCCTCTCGATGGTTGGATGGGGTGGCATTTTTACAAGTATATGAAGCATTGGATTACAGACACGTGAAGAAAACTGAAATTAGAGCAAATTCCCAGAATATATTTTTGGGATTATATGATCTTAAATATAACCATCCCAGAGCAAGTTGTGTTTACCTATGTCACTACTATCTCGTTAACCCTTTCCCCCTCTATCGTACAACAATAAGGTATACCTCACCCATCAAACACAAACCAGTCTCCTTGCGGTGTTCAACACAGGAGGAGGGAAATACCTCTCCTTGCAAGGCCTGTATCTCCCCGGGACAAGAGAAACCTCCCTCCCACCTACAATCCTGATCTCCCCCCATTGGCCTCCCCCTGCACGGTTCAACCGCCGCCTCTTGACCTCGATCTCGCCTAACCTTTCAGCGATGGCAAAGAGATCGTAACCTTCCTTTCCTACATCGAATAATTCCCTCTGGCTCTTGACGAAATTCTCCAGCACCCACCTCTGGCTTTTGGTCAGAGAGGAGGAGGAGGTGTGTTTGTGGATGCCGTGCCAGGTCATCTTGTTGAGCTGGGCTGCCAGGCAGGGGTTTTTGGCTGGGAGGTCGAGGCGGACTTTGTGGTGTTTAGTTAGGAGGTTGAGGAGGGGTTGTTTGGGGGAGGAGGGGGAAGGTTTTGAGTTGGGAGAGGGGGGAGAGGGCTATGGGGGAGGTGTAGTGGGTGTAATTAGGGTGGGAGGTGGTGCAGGTTTTGGACTTGGAGGGGGTTGGGGATCGTCTGTGGTAGTGGTAGACTAGCTTTGGGGTGGAGCGGATTGCTGTTGTGGCGGTGGTTGTGGGTTGCTGAGATACACCGCGGTAGGATGGGGTGTTGTCTGCCACGGGGTTGGGGCGAGAGAGGGAGTGGGTTGTGATCTCACTGTGGTGGTTCGTGCCTGATTGCTTTTGGACGGAGCTGCTTGGGTTACTCTTGCGGGTGTTGACAGCAGGTGTTATTGACTTTTTGGCCTGTTTCAAAGCGTCAGTCTTTGCTGCCTCCAGTTTCTCTAGAATGTCAGTGTTACCGTGAAGGTATGAAACTGTTTCGAAATAAAAATGGGGAGTAGGGCAAGAGTAAGTGGACCTACCGTGCGTATTTATTGAGCCTCTCTCTGGCAGTTGTTGTTTGGCAGTCGACTTGTTGTCTTTACCTGACGCCCAGCGTCTCAGACTCAAGAAGGTGAATGCCATTGTTGTCCAGGGCCGGTGTGTGTGTTATTCCGAGCCAACCAACAACCTACTCAAAAGAAATCCAACAAACCCTTCTGCCAAAGAAACAACCGAAACAGGACAGCCGTCAAGACAGAATCTCAGTTTTGGTGTTCAATGGGTGCAGATGGGGATGGGAGTGGAGGTTCCTCCACAACCAACTCATGAGGGGCCCAACTTCTTAAATACGACGTTTTAATCGAGCAGCTCGATGTCAGAACAATGCATTGTTGCGAATGACAAAACAATGGACAAAGAAAACTAGCCAAATTTATTGTCATTAATGGTCCTGCCAACCGCCCGGCAACAACAACTCATCCATTGTCGAAGCATCCAAGCTATGCACCTCAGATACCGTTCCAATGAGATTTCAATATGTCTGAGTGAGTGTGTATTTGTACAAAAGTTTTCAGCTGCTGAATGGCCCTGCAGAGATATGTTGATATGGTTATTGTAGGATAAGGGTCATGCTGAACATAGTGCTAAACCACATCAAAGACAACAGTGTGTCCTAAGCTAAACAGTGAAAATCTATAAATAATGCTGCTGCGAACTACCGATTTGGACAACAGTATTGTAGAACTCTTTCTTTATCTGAAAACCTCAATCATAGTTTTCCACAGTAGACCTCCAAAGATGACCGGAAGAAGAAAAACTGGGACCACTGACGACACACCACGCCCTGCTCAGGAAGAGTGTAGCTGTGGACATTGATCTAATGCCTTAACTCAGGCGACGGAAACATCAGCAGCACTCCAACGGGAGATACCTGAGTCGGGTCCTGACTGTTCTGGGACATGTCCAGACAAGCCACAGGAATCTACTCACGAGAAGCCGGCTTATCTCCCACACCCCCATAGACTTTGGCCTGCCCCCGAACACGGTTCAGTATCGATGGGAAATTTCCGGTTCGGTTAGACAACAACCACGGCCTCGGCAGCTGCATCACCAAAATCAACATCAGCAGCAGCCTGAAGCAGCATCAGACGCAGCGTCCATGGTCAACTACACAACTGCGCCTTATTATCAAATCACACATGAACAAAACAAGCCACAGAACCGGTAACCACCAAAGAGCTCCGGTTTATCCTACTATCATCAACACCTTAGGCATCACTCCTTCTCCCACTCCGAGACGTCCAACGAGCCAGCACCTCTAGGCTGTAGCCGAAACCACTTGGTTGGCGTCGCCAGTGCTGTCAGATCTGGAGTGATATCCGGCTGCAATCTCCGGTATATCGTCAGATTGGGCAAAGTAGGGTAGGTTCGTAGTAATGCTATCCTCGTGCTGGGTTGAGCATGCTCACATCTTCTTGGCGTTGCTCTTTGATCAAACAACACCATTAATAGCCACGCCTCCGGTGGCAGAGCCGCATGGCAAAGGAGGCTCGAGGATGAATCCGGGGGCTGTTAGGAACTTGTGGGCAGTATGGGAGGGAGACCTTCCCCGGCACCTGGGCCATAAGCTTGTTGGAGGTGGTGATCAGACCAGGCAACTTCATTAACTTCCTCCCAATGAAGACTTTGGTAGCTTGACAAATATCCCAATGAAGACATATCTTGTCCCAGAACAGTGGATCGCGAAACGATGATCCTAGGTTGCATCCTTCCGAAGGGTGGTCGTGAATGTCATGGCCCTCCTTTTCACGCCACTTTCTCTTTTTTTCTGTTGCCTGACCCCCACGGTCGTGCTGTTTGCTCGTTATGAGAACTTTCAGAAACTAGACTAGAATAGATTTTGGCTACATATTGCAAGACAGCAATATGCCAGAGTCCTGCCACACCGAACAACAGCATTACCCCGCTTGCGGCTCTTCTTGAAATGTGAATTTGTTGGCGAGCGAGGAAAGGGAGAGAGAATATTTGCCTTGTCTTGCACAAGGCCTTTGCAGAACGGGCTCGCCACAGGTCGTCCAGTCGTTGACGGACGCGGCAGTCATACGAAGCATGACGAAAAAGAATACAGAAGCCTAAGCGGGAACAATATACTGCGGGGGAAGTTGCATCAACGTTGAGGCTCCCGTTTCTCTAGCATCCCATTGGTAGACCTGGGAGATGTTGAGTAATCAAGATGTTCGACTGTGTTTGTCGATGGGATGGTGTCTGTGCCATGCGACGTGGATGTTCCCCAATCGCCTCGCTTGGATGGATGGAGAGCTTGGGAGAATGGGGATGGGAACGAGTGGGACGACGAGGGGGATGATGACGGGGCCACTGGCGGCTTTGGCATTGGCTCGTGCCGGCCATCCCCAGTAATCCCCAGACCGCTCCGTGGCCTGTGTCCTTGCCCAAGGCGAGCCAAGCATATCTATCAGCCCTACAGGAACCTGAGCGGAGACGGTGGGAAGCGGGCTTGGAATCTGCTGCAGCACAGCATCTGCATCTGTCCTTCTGGTGCCCTTCACGCCCTCTGGCCGACAGCTTCTGCGCACGTCCGTAACATTCCCATCCAGCCTATGCTGTCCCGATGTACTGATGTAGCCATCCAATGCAATGTTTGTCAGTCATCCGGTCATCTGAGTCCTGGTATGTTATCGAGAGGTTGGGGGCCGCATCTTCACGTTTGAGTGGGCGATGGCTTGAGCCGCAATGCCGCATTCTGCTTCAGGTTTCTGGCTTTCTCGCCATGTTGCTTGCCGTCATTGGCTGGCAAGGAACCTGCATCTGTGAGTCCTGGAGATTCAGATTGCGAGACGTTGCAGCCCACTGGTGGCTGAGCTGTGGGGTTCGGCAAGCTCGATGAACGGACCACCGCTTATTCGTGGTGGAGGTGTCCACTTGTCTATGGTGATATCAGTTGGGTTCGTGAGGAGGTTGTGGAGCAGACGAGATTGCAGAGATAATGCTGTTTGATGAGAGATGGGCGGCGCAGACGTTTAGATCTCGAGCCGAACAGGTCGCTGATGACAAGCGGCGGTTGAAATGAAAGCTCTGCACGGCACAGCAACAGCTCATCTGCGACTCTGCAACTCTGCGACACCGCGAAAGCGACAAGCCACAGACATCAAAGGGCGGTTCCTGTGGCCCCTGAATGTTCCTGCGCATTGTCGCCCGGAACGCTGGGATGACCTCTCCCGTTGCCATACCCCTTTTGATTGCCCTCATGACAGCCAAAAAGACCCATCGGGTTTTCCTTGATGGTTTCTCTAAAGACGACGAAACGGTTGACGTGTTTATTGTGATTGAGTGAAAGGGACTTCGTCATGACCTGCGCGGCCGAGACTGATATCGAGGGGGGAAATCTGTCTGCCTCAGTGATGCGAGAGCGAGAGGGCCCAGAGTCGGGTATGTTAGCGCAAGACCTGTACAAATGCCGACTGTTAGGGTTTGTTGCAGCGAGGGTCCTGCGAGGGGAAGCGGTGTGTTAGCAAGACATTTGTCCCGCATTAACAGCACCACGCCAAACGATACCAACTGGAACCGTGCAGCAGCTATCGTTACTGGGAGAGGGTGGCATTGGGGGCATTGGGAACGAGTGGTGGCATTGGATGCTTTTTCGGCGACACAATTGGAAAGGATTCAGGGCTGGCCAATCAGATAGGTCTGCTGCGCCCTGCCTCAGACCCACATCTTGCCAGGGACCCTAGTCGGCACAGCAGGCAGCAGCGTCCAAAAGGCTCCACGCATTTCTCATCATCCCTTCGGTCCCCAACGACAGTCCTCGTCCACGTCCTCAGAACCCGGGCCCCTTCTCGCGACAAACCTCTCTTTCTTCCCCATCTCATTCCATCCCATCCCATTCATCCCATCCCATTTATCCCATCATCTGTTTTTATCGGCAGAAAACCTCTGCCCCAGACAACCTCAGGCCACCATCCACCGTCAACGGGCCGCTCTCCTTGGCTTGCTGTGTAAGGCGTTGCTGAGCTAAGACCATTACACCGGCCGCCCATTTACCACCGCGTCTGCCCACTCCCATCGCCCCTTTGTCATAGGACCCCGTTCCCCTTCAGCCGTCGTCTTCTTCCTTACATAACGCCCTTCCTTTGAACACCTTCCTGCGACCGACACATCCGCCGTCGTTGTGACGCCAGGTCCTGGATTCCATTGCGAGCTTGCTGTCCCTGGCGCCTCCTCTACAACCTTCGTCATTCACACAGGTAAGGACCTAGAACCCCCTCCCCTTCCCTCTCATCTTCTTCCCTTCTCTATCTAGCTCCAGTCCACGTCGGTCTGGGCATCGTGACATCTGGCTGCAACTCGTCTGGGTATTGGCCAATCCCGCCCTCGAACACAAAGTCCTATCTACAGAAAGTGCGCGTGGTAGATCGCTGCATTCGGAATATCCTGCTTCTGTGACTCACATCCTCTCGTCTCTCAGCCTTACAATGGAATACATTGCATGATTGAAAACTGACAAGAGGACCTGCCACAGTGCTCTATCTCGCGCTCTCTCAAAAGACCCGGGTTTCACCCCGCATCTACCGCAGCCATGTCCTCCAACCCCCGTAGGACGCCGATGACTCGGCCGGACTCGAGAGGCCTTTCTCTTAAGACCAACACCCTCCAGAAGGGAGCGACCTTTCACTCTCCCACGAGTCCTACCTCGACCACAGAGAACGTCTTTAGACCACCATCTCTGCCACGCCGATCGCAGTCGAACCTGGACGATGTCATTGATTCCCATCGCCGCCGTGCCGCCTTGACCTTGGACGAGTTTGATAGAACGCTTGCCGGTCTTTCCATCAGCGACTCGCCTTCCTCAGCGGCTGCGCGCAAGATTCTTCGCGAAGACAGCCCGCCCATTCCCCGTGGAATTCTCAACCACACCTTGGATACTGTCATGGCCAAGGGGAAGGAGGTGGAACGCAAAGTACTGCGCCCTCGCACTCGCCGAACTTCTCGACATCACGACTCCGACAGCGGTCTCGGCACCTCTATTGCTTCCACTAACGAAAAAATTGCTGCGAAGGAGCAAACAGTCGCAAAGACCACTGCTGTCACTAGATCTGCCGCCGCCACTCGCACGACCACAACTACCACCACACAAGTGCTCGGTCAGCGTGCCAACAACCGCATTTGCGAACACACACTCAAGCCACTCCTTGGCAAGCCGGAATTCAAGGATTTCCACCCGCTTCTGCTGGAGTGCCCAAAGAAAATTCAAGACAAGGAGATCGTCTGCCTTAGAGATCTTGAGAAGACACTTCTTCTTGTCGCACCAGTGAGTGATTTCGAGAACGACACTGCCACCAAGAGTGATACTTACCGTGTTTTACTCTCAAAGGAGAGAACCAAATCTGCTGGCCTGTATCTCGACTTCTGCCTGACCACCATTCAGTGCATCCAGGCCACTGTTGAGTACCTCAGCGACCGTGAGCAGACTCGGCCACGCGACGTGCCGTATAGCAGCGGCTATTTTATCGACCTGGTTGATCAGATCCGCCACTACGCCCAGCAACTTTCCGAGGCCAAAGAGAAGGGAGAGAACGACGAGATGGATGTTGATCCGTATGGCTGCTCCACTGTACACGAACTGATTGTGCCGCTTGCTAACTGGTATTTTAGCACTGACGAGATCAAACTGCACGGTGGAATCCACATCAACGGCCGCCCCGCCGAGCTGGTTCGCATCAAGAAGAACGGCAAAATGATTTCCATGGCTACCGGCGAACCTATCGAGTCGATTGAGGAAGAGAGCAGCGGCGCGGTCAGGATTAAGCGCTCGGCCAGTGAGGAGCTCGAAGATGAGGAAGAGATCATGCGCTCCATGGCCAGGCGAAAGAAGAATGCTACACCCGAGGAGCTCGCGCCCAAGAAGTGCCGAGAGCACGGCTGCAACAAGGAGTTCAAGCGGCCTTGCGACTTGACCAAGCATGAAAAGACACACTCTCGGCCCTGGAAGTGTCCCGTCACTACCTGCAAGTACCACGAGTATGGATGGCCAACGGAAAAGGAGATGGATCGCCACCATAACGACAAGCACTCTGCGGCGCCCCCCATGTTTGAGTGTTATTACAAGCCATGCCCGTACAAGTCCAAGCGGGAATCCAACTGCAAGCAGCACATGGAGAAGGCACATGGCTGGACCTACGTCCGGACCAAGACCAATGGCAAGAAGCCTGGCTCCAGCATTGCTGGTGGCTCTACCCACCCCACGCCCCAACTTGGCCACATTTCCACCCCCTCGAGCGACATGAGCGCTGGGGTCGCTACTCCTCCTGATGATTGGAGCCACATCTATTCCAGTGGCCTGGAGTTCCCCACCTATATGCCCGACTCTGATTTCGGCATGATCCCTCAAGAGCTCCATCTTGAGTACTCTCCGGTTGATAACCCTACTCCTTCCACTGACTCTGGCATGGACCACAGCTCTGCCTACCAGGATATCTCCACAGATTTCACACTCTATGAGGATATTTACAGTGCCAATGTGCAGCTCCCTACACCCATGCACGCCAATATCTATGACAAGCCCATGGAACCACAGTTTACCCCTTTCACCGGTGCCGAACTCTGCCCGCTACCTGCCCAGCTCTCACCCATCGGCCAAGCGAACGCTATGCTCTTCACTCCCACCTCGATGGTCGATGAGGGTTTCGATGACCAACACGAGCTTGCCGCCATGACCAATATGGCCAGCGGCGGGGACTTCATCCTTTTCCCCAACCAGGCTGGTGTTTCCAAGCCCATGTACAATGACTCCCTGTTTGCGACAGATCTCCCGCTCCAGGGCATGGGCACCGGTTACTCTCAGCCTTCCACTCAAGATCTGATTAACGGATTCCACGTTGACTGGTCAGCACATGACTTGAGCGCCTACCTTCCTCAGTAAATCAGAGGATCCTGCGCGTGGGACTACCAGATCTCGCGAGTAGGCCTGTATATTGGCGTTAATGGAAAATTGGAGATTGTTGGGAAATAATTCTCCCGGCCTGTTTGCTGTTTTTTATGATGTAATGAAGTGGGACATTAGCGATTTTGGGATTGGAGAGAAGAGAAGCTGAGAACGGAACTTCCAGGCAGAATATCTGGGGACGACTCTACTCTTACTCTATTTTTGTATTTTTCCATAGCTGGTTTTGCCTGTTTAATCGACAGTTGGCCCCCGTTTGGGGTTTTCATACTGCTATACGCATTCCTTTTCTTCCACAAGCAACCAACCACCACCAAGACTGCGAATGTTGGGTCAAAGGACTGTGAAGTGGATGGACATAGTTTCAACAATGGCAGGAGACAACGGCCATTCACACCGGCTCTAGGTAGTTTTAGGTAGAGATCATGGCTTTTTATACAATAACAAAGAAGCTTGGAACTACTATTTTGTCCACATCCATCACGATGTGTTTCTGTTAGCGGAGAGTGAGGGTGTTATACACAAGCAAGAGGGTGCTTTTCCGGAGCTAGATACCAGATGTCTTGAACAAGCTCCTCCAACTACCTTATTTCGATTGCCTTTCAGACCTGTTCGGGGTTTAAATAGGCGTCAAAGGACAATTGCCAGTATTAAAAAATTATCCAAGGTAGTTATACAGATGCTTTTCAACTCTGTTTACATAGGTGTCGATAAACAGAGCATGTACGGATAGTTTTGTGGAATTCATTTTGTTATTTCGGAACAGGCGGGAATGATGGTGATGATGGAGATGCCTGGGACTTGTGACCTTGGGGATTCCTTGTTGGTCCCGTAGTAGTTTCTGGCCTTTTCCCGAGACTGGAACGGGATGGATAGATAGGTAATCATGTGAGTCATTTGGTATAGATACCTATCAAATTACCCCTCATCAACCTTGCCGCGGCATTCCCGTTTCGAACTTGAACTTGTTTTTGGGGACCGATCCAATCTGTCACAATGACTCCGACAACCAGCAACGACTTCATCACCCCCCTCCGCGCCGCCTCCCGCAACCTGGCGCGCGAATGGGGGTTTTTACGCCCGAAGATTGCGGGATCGGACCTGTCGGCTGCTGCGGTGCACGCTCTCATCGAACTTGGGAATGGGCGCTCGCTTAGTGTTGATGAGCTGGCTGCTGAGTTGAGGGTTAGTACCGGGCAGGTGAGGGGGGTGGTGCCTGAGCTTGTTGGGAGGGGGCTGGTCAGGTCAGAGGGGGATGGTGGTAGTTATGGGCTTACAGAGGAAGGGAAGGAGACACTGGGGAGGATCAACGGTTTTGCTCAGAGGCAGGTGGCGAAGGCGCTGGAGGATGTGGGAGGGGGAAATGGGGTTACGGCTGGGGATATCACGTCTGTGTTTAGGATTTGGACGCAGGCGCTGGAGAGGGCGAGGGAGGTTGGGGAAAATTTTCCCACGCCGGCGGTGACGCCGGGGCAGGAGGAGGGTCCGTTTGGGTTGCCCGGGACGGGTGCGGTTGCTGGCGCGGGGGTGGAACCAGCTGTGGCAAAGAGGACGGTTGAGATCGTGTCTGGATATCAGCCTGGGATTCTGGGGAGGGTGGTGGAGATGCATATGGAGTATTACTATCCAAAGTATAACTGGGGGAGGGAGTTTGAGACGGTGTTTACGGAGGGGATGCTTGACTTGCTGAAGAGGGTCGGGAATGGGAAGGGGAACCAGGCTTGGGCTGCGGTGCTCAAACAGCCTGGTGGGAAGGATAGGATAGTGGGGACTGTGTTTATTGATGGGGAAATCACGGCTAAGGAAGGGGTGGCGAAGTTGAGGGCGTTTATTGTTGATGAAGAAGCGCGGGGGTTAGGGGCAGGGAAAAGACTCTTACGAGCAGCGATGGATTTTATCATGGAAGAAGGGTTTAGGCAGTGTGAGTTGACAACCAGCAAGGAGTTGATGGTGGCTAGAAAGATGTATGAGACGGAGGGGTTCAAACCGATGGGAGAGTACTGGTATGGCGGTTGGTTGGAAGGGGTGTGTTCGATGGAGTATTTGTGGGAGAGGCCCGCAGGGAAACATACGCCAAGTGAGGATGGAACGCTCAAGGGGAAGGAAGTATAATGCCCATCTATGTTCGGTGTCGCTATATAACGAAAGTATGATGGCCAAGTCGAATGTCGTTTCGGAACAGATTCGTCGTTAACGTGACGAGGCCAATGTCCACAAACCCCCTATTATCCAGCTGGCAGCCTTCCATGACCCCCATAGAAACGCCACACCCAGCACGCCCAACAGCACCACCACAATACTCCTAATCTCAAACGCCTCGGCAACCTCCATCTTCATCAATTTCTTCTGCTTGCTGTGGTAGAAGTCTTCCTTCTCCTGCCCGGGACTAACGGCGAGTGTCTGAGGGTTGCTGATGGGGAATGGCTTTCCATTCTCGTCTACAGCTACATACTCGTACCGTTTGTATCTGTAAACAATCCGGTGCAACCACTCGGGCATGCGACTTTCTGAGTCTGAGGCGTGGTAATGCCGCCTCAGGGCCGAGTTACGCGTGTCGACAAGAAATAAGGAGATGAGGAAAGTGGTGAAGATGATTGGCGTCATGATTAACTTGAAAAGCAATTAGTACAAGCTGATACTCGAGAGGCTGATGAACCTGAATGTAAAGGGGCACATTAGGGTTTCACATACCTTGTATAATGACGACTGGTCTCCGACTTTAACATCAGCCTGATTGAACTTGGCGCTGGCGGCCCGAACGGGGGCTGGTGCGGAGGTTGACATTTTATCGGTCTTCGTTTGCTAGGGCTAACTGCCGAGGAAAATTTGGTGAAGGGATTGTTGTGTTGGAGAGTCGTCTGAAGGCTTGAGGTGGTGAAGATATGGGCCTGAGTTGCTAAGGCGTGAGTACGCAGAGAACGTGGCTGTGACGCGGCTCGACTCCTGTCAAACCGATTGAAGCGACGCAAGTAAGTCACCGACGGTTTTGTGCTATCAAAGGCCAACTGTAACGCTTTAATCGACGTTTCGTGTAACCCAGGTAGTTCCATCAATCAAGGCCAATACCCCAGAGTGCCGTACTCTCGGCAACTGCTGTCCTAATTCCGATGGAGGATGAGAAGTCAAAGTCGATGTTGTAGTGCATGTATATAGCTCATCAGCCCCAGTTGTTCTACCGACCGACGTTCGGAATACCCATACCCACCATCACCTATGACCGGAAACGCATTTGTTCTCGAAGACTCTTGGTAGCTCTGTTCGTCATGACGGTTTGACTGCCCCACCATAAATTAGACGATCACCCCTCCATGCCCCTCACTCGAAAGTAGATCGGGTATCACCGGGTTTGCAACATCAGTCAGATATGATGGTGGAAAACATCAGCTTTTGAATTGTTCCATTTTGTACATTTACTGATATCGACTCCAATCTGTCATTTAAGGGAGAGCGATGCACTCAATCTCGACATCAACGCCCTTGGGGAGCTGCCTGACGGCAACGCAGCTTCTGGCGGGCTTGTGGGTGAACCACTTGGCATACTCCTCGTTCATAGACTGCATTTTAATTTAGCGAACGCTGTCACTCGACGATCGGAAACTTCGGGTGCTTACGGCAAAGTTGGCCATGTCGGTCAAGAAAACATTGACCTTGACAACCTTCCCGATGGAGGAGCCAGCCTCCTCGAGAACGGCCTTGATGTTGGCGATGCAAGCACCGGTCTTCTCCTGGATGGTGCCCTCAACGAGGTTGCCCTGGGCGTCGCAGGGAATCTGGCCGGAGCAGTAGATGGTGGTAGGGGTCTTGATGGCCTGGGACTGTATATATTAAGTTAGGAGATGCTTTGACTATTTGAGCTCTCAAAGGTAGTCATACGTATGGGCCAGCGACTATGGTCATGTCAGTCAAGGATCAAGGGAGATGGTAGCTAGTGAGCAGAAAGACGTACCCGGGGCGGCCTTGTCGGTGTAGACGGGAGTGGCAGACATGTTGTGGATGAGTCTTGGGAGTGTCCTTTTGGGAGAAACCTGAGAAAAGACAGAAAGGGATCTTCTGGCAGCAATTGCAAACATTGATTGAGACGGTGGGTTTTCTTGACAGTGGAATTGGCGATTGGCTTTTTGATGGACTCCTTCCCCGCGCTCCGTTCTTCGGACTACGGTAGTCAACCCCGCAGCCCAGGCCGCTGTTAAGCTCTGGCAGATGCGGATGTGGCCGTCCCAGGGTCTCATATCGTCAATATAGAGAATGCACTTTATCCTCGCACCTTGAATGGAGCCTACCTACGTACCCAGGGAAGTGGAACAGTCCAAATTACCCAGGCACTCAAAAGAGCATTTGTAGATGGCGCCCACCAACCTCAGGTACTAAAAGATACCTGTGCCTACCTTAAAAACCACTCGGTGCCCCAGACATGATGAATACCTCGTGATGGACGCGGGTTTCAGATGCCTGGGGTTTCTCCAAGTCGTTCTTTCTTGGATATCTCTCGTCTCATCAGAAAAGACCAGATATGCAGATATGTGGCTGAGGTAGTGAATACTAGCTACGGAGTACTGTGTTTCTTGGGCACTTTTGATGGTGTTGGTGACGTTTCCCGGTAGCAGCTGCAGGCGGGGCTTGGCATCTCGAGCTCGGGCCTGGGTGCCGGGTTGCGCCAAGTGGCCAGAAAAAGTTACCCCCCTGCACCCAGAGAATGATGGCGGTGTCCTCAGCGCTGCCGGAGGGAGGGAGGCTTTAAGGGGTTGTCAAGCAATTTGTTGCCATGTGCATCTTGTCTTCTCTTTGCGCAAGCAACCTTTTGCCATTGGCCCTTCGCATTTCAATCTTCTTCTACTCTCTTTAAAGTTCCCTTTGTTTTTATCTTCGTCTTCTTCACTTTAAACTGTCATTGGATTCGGCATTAGGGCACTTATACTCGCGGTGTTGCTGGTGAGGTAAGTTTAGGTGGCTTCCTCCGTCTCCCGCCGTCTGGCATCCAATGTTTGGTAATCGCCGTCCGGCTTGCTCCATCCTGCAATTCCAGTGCTCTCAGATGCCAGCTATATATCTGCTTATCTTTGAAAGCCTGGGTGAGCTCAGGACTTATTTCTTGCCCTCACCGTCGCGACCATCAACGGCGCTCCAGGCAATCATTAGCTAACACTTTTCTTGTCTTCGCAGCCCGACCTTTGAAACTGACCACCACCGTCCATCATGGCTACAACAGCCCCCCAGGGCACCTTGCGCCAGCGTAGCGTAGCTGGTAGCAAGAAGAACAAAGATGGCGCCTCCTCCGATGTTGAGCTCGACAAGCTCGTCAAGGCCGCCAACCAGCGCCCAAAGGCTGTCTCGGAGAACGATCACAGGATCGCCTTCTTCATCATCACCATCCTGGCCTTCATCACCAGATTCTGGGGCATTAGTCACCCCAACGAGGTTGTTTTTGACGAAGTACACTTCGGAAAGGTATGATGCCCTTTCCCTTGCGCCTTGGGCGACAGTCACGCTGACATCTGCCGCGGTTTATAGTTCGCCTCGTACTATCTCGAAAAGACCTACTTCTTCGACGTGCACCCTCCGTTCGGCAAGCTCCTCTTTGCCTTTGTTGGCTGGCTGGTTGGCTTCGATGGCCACTTTCACTTCGAGAACATTGGCGACTCCTACATTGCGAACAAGGTTCCCTACGTGGCCTTCCGCTCCCTCCCTGCCCTCCTTGGCGCCTTGACCGTCTCGGTGGTATACCTTATCATGTGGGAGTCTGGGTACAGCCTTCCCGCCTGCATTCTTGCCGCTGGCTTGGTTCTGCTCGACAACGCCCATATTGGCCAAACACGCCTGATTCTTCTCGATGCCACCCTCGTGTTTGCCATGGCCTGCAGCTTGCTCTGCTATATCAAGTTCTACAAGTTGCGCCATGAGCCCTTCTCAAGGAAGTGGTGGAAGTGGCTGATCCTCACTGGATTTGCCCTTTCCTGCGATATCTCGACCAAATACGTTGGTCTTTTCGCCTTCATCACCATTGGTTCTGCTGTTGTCATTGAGCTTTGGGACTTGCTGGATATTAAGAGGCCTGGTGGAGCTCTGACCTTGGCTCAGTTCGGCAAGCACTTTGCTGCTAGAGCTTTCGGCTTGATCTTCCTGCCCTTCCTCTTTTACCTCTTCTGGTTCCAGGTTCACTTCACCATTCTCACCCGCTCCGGCCCCGGTGATGATTTCATGACCCCCGAGTTCCAGGAGACCCTGAGCGACAACATCATGCTCAGCAACGCCATCACCATTGACTATTACGACACCATCTCTATCAAGCACAAGGAGACCAAGGCTTACCTTCACAGCCACCCGGAGCGTTATCCTCTGCGGTATGACGATGGTCGTGTTTCCAGCCAGGGTCAGCAGGTCACTGGTTACCCATTCAATGACACCAACAACTATTGGCAGATTCTCCCCGCTGGTGCCGATGACAAGCAGCTCAATCGTCACATCAAGAATCACGACCTCATCAGACTCCGTCACGTTGTTACCGACACCATTCTCTTGTCCCACGACGTTGCCTCGCCATACTTCCCTACCAACCAGGAGTTCACCACAGTCTCACTTGCGGACGCCTATGGTGACAGGGCTGCTGACACTCTCTTCGAAGTACGCATTGAGCATGGCAAACCTAACCAGGAATGGAAGACTATCTCGGGCCACTTCAAGCTGATCCACAACCCAAGCAAGGTTGCCATGTGGACTCACACCAAGCCTCTTCCCGAATGGGCTTTCAAGCAGCAAGAAATCAACGGCAACAAGCAAATCGCACCAAGTTCCAATGTCTGGCTTGTTGAGGACATTTCTTCTCTGCCCGCCAACCACCCGCGCCGCGCCAAGGTAGCAAAGAAGGTCAAGACTTTGCCCTTCTTGCGCAAGTGGTTTGAGCTGCAAAGGTCCATGTTCTGGCACAACAACCAGCTGACGGCCAGCCACCCCTACGCTTCGCTTCCCTACTCTTGGCCCTTCCTGCTCCGCGGTGTCAGCTTCTGGACACAGAATGATACTCGTCAGCAAATCTACTTCCTTGGCAACCCAATCGGTTGGTGGATTGCCAGCAGTGTCCTGGCCATCTATGCCGGCATCATCTTGGCCGACCAGTTCTCACTGCGCCGTGGCATGGATGCTTTGGATCACCGTAAGTCTTGATCTCTAATTCGAATCCGAGTTACGGCGGCTAACAATCGCTAGGTTCTCGCTCCCGCCTGTACAACTCCACGGGCTTCTTCTTCCTTGCCTGGGCTACCCATTACTTCCCCTTTTATGTCATGGGTCGTCAGCTCTTCCTTCATCACTATCTCCCCGCACATCTAGCATCTGCCCTTGTCACGGGTGCGCTGGTTGAGTTCATCTTCAGCCAGGACGCCGTGGAGCACGAGGTGGCCCATCAAGCCGCTAAGGCCGGCAAGAAGAGCCAGACTCCTAAGCACCACTTGACGGCCCGCGAGCGTTTTGCCGGCCAGAGTTTGTTCGGGTCATGGGTTGCCACCGGTGTCATTCTCACCTTGGTTGCCGCGGGCTGGTACTTCTTCTTGCCTTTGACCTACGGCTACCCCGGCCTGACGGTGGAGCAAGTTATCCGGAGAAAGTGGCTGGGTTATGATCTTCACTTTGCCAAATAGGGGGTGAAGGAGTCATAAAAAAGAGTTTCCGGCATTTCTTAGACCATCTGCATAGTTGACTCGAGAAGGGGATTGTGAAATGAAGCTGTACGATTTGAAGATTCTCTGATTTGCGCGTCTTAAAGGGAGCAAGGAGGCTACAGCCAGTTTGGGAGTACCGGTGGGCGGTTTGGGGGGGATTCTCTGGGGCATGGGGGATATAAAAGTCTTAATCTTTGCCAGTTTCACTGTGTTTTAGATCATGAATCACATCCGTTGTTTGCACAAAGCCTGTTTGTTTCTGCGAAATACGGTTTGTATTATGGTTCTCCATTGGCTAGCGGTTGCTTAAATCGTCTCAGCCTTGCTCTCAAGCAACGCAGTTAGCTCTGCCGGATTTCTCGGATATGGTGCCTACTAGACATGGCGCATTAGTACCCTGTGCGAGAGATATTCCCAATACCAGATGCCAGTCAGGAACAAGACCAAAAGACTTTCTTCAGAAACCCAGATTATAAGCATAACCAAGCACACCGCCCCCAACTGCCCCCCCTCCACCCGCCCCGCAAGCGTATGACGATGCAAGCGTTATCTCCGGTTAGGAAACATGGGCGAATAAAGGAGTAGAAAGGCAGCGGCGACGAGGGGGTTCATACGGCTCTTCCTATTACTGAGATAAAGGGTTGTAGCAGGCGCTACATAGATCATCATGGAAGTCTTGTTGGTGTTGTCTCCTGAGGGGCGCTGGTGTTGAGGCAGATAAGGCAGAATGGGAGGAACATACCATTGACTTCAAAACTGTTGGCTGCGTTTGTTGGTTAGTTGATGTTCCGCCGAAACGACCGCCCAAGCAGCCAGGCCCAATATTTTCTTTCGAGTATATCGCCGGTATCAATTGCTTCGTGTTTCGTTCAATTGAGAGGTTGCGTGCAACGGAAGATTTGGACCGGTGGTGGGCGGTGTGTTTCGCTTCACAGGACGTCGGTGGTTGTTGCAGGAAGAATTTGAAGCAGAGAGCAAGGAAAATATTTTTAGTTTTCTTGACCCCAGCTCTGGCTCCACCCAAAGCTTATGTCCGTGTAGGCCAGAGGGTTAGGGTTCGCTGCTCACAGTGGAACCTCATCAATATCACAAGGCTATTTTGCGATGCCAAAGTCCCAAAACAACATGATTGCGGACACAACAACTTTCTGGAGACTCAGATCCGTTTTCAAGCCGAATTCCCCTCTGGTGGGGTTGTGTTGCAAGTGCCCGGCAGCCGGCTCAAAACGATGGGCGGCCGGACAAACTGTTCGCCCACGCCGCCAGCCTTGACGATTCAAACACTCTCCGAAGCACACCAAGACCGTGCGATATGTCTCTTGTACTCGAGTTGACACAATGGTGTTTTCTGAAACCGGGGCATAACCCCTACCGATGGCGTCAAGGTTGGAAAGGAGCAACCGCTCTAGACCAAGCGGTAGCCTCCCACTTCAGACGGAATTCGGAGCAAGACGGACACATCAAGACAATACCTGTCAAGAACCTCCTCGCTAGGACAGGTGTTGAACAGGATGGCTCCATTTGCACTTGGGAGGCTGCAACTGCATGTACATGCACACAACCGCAGTTCGGCACATCCGTCCGGTGAGTCCTATGAGGCAAAGAGACCCTCGCCAATCATCGCATTTGCCGAAGGTCAAGGGGCTGAACGGCGCGGGGAATTCTGTGACGCGGCGAGGTAGCATCTCAGGAATATATCGCTCCTGGATCCACGAACACTTTTGAGCCACCTTTTTTCTTATTTTATCTTTCCAGCAAATAAGTGCTTGAGTATTACCGCTATTTCGACAACGCCCTGACAACAATAACACACGATAGCAGTAGCAACTTCGCCAAATGGATCTTTTCAGGACCTTACCTGTCCGCTCCATTTCGGTTGTCTCCCTGACGACTGCGTATCTGGCGTCATCAGGCAAACTACCCATATGGCCCCAATGGAGCCTGGTACCGTCATTTCTAGCTCTTTGGAGTCTTCAATTCTCCTTCTGGCTTATATGGGTTCTCTTTCTCTACAATAGTCTGTTTTCTCCCTTTCAAGACTTGCCCACGCCTGACGGCAAACATTGGCTCTTTGGCCATTTCCCCATCATCAAGAAGTTTCCGACTGGGAAACCTATGATTGAGTGGTGCGTGTTCTCTCTACAACAACGTCCCATGTACGATCGGTTGTTGACTGTTAATGCAGGGTGAACACACTCCCGAATGACGGCCTGATCAGATATTTTGGTCTCTTCAACCAAGAGAGGCTGCTCCCTACAAACCCCAAGGTATTGACCGAGCTTCTTACCACCAAAAACTATGACTTCCAAAAGCCCTCTTCATGGCGATGGCTCATCGGCCGTATGCTCGGTATCGGGCTTTTGTTGGCTGAAGGCGACGAACATAAAGTGCAGCGGAGGAATCTGAATCCAGCATTCCACTTCCGCCACATCAAGAATCTGTATCCTATTTTTTGGAGTAAATCCAAGGAGGGTGTAGAGGCCTTGACCAAGAAAGTCCTGAGCGAGAAGAAGTCCATCGGGCCATCGGGACCCAAGGACCAAGAAGAAAGCCGTGCGGCTGTCGTCGAGGTCGGAAACTGGGCCTCTAGAATTGCACTCGACATTATCGGAGTCACCGGTCTCGGTCGTGACTTTGGCGCCATCTCAGATCCAGGGAACGAACTCAACCAGACCTACCAAAATCTGTTTTCTCCCAGCAAGCAAAGCCAAACGCTCGGTATGCTTAACCTCATCTTCCCGGCCCGTCTAGTCCAACTCCTTCCTGTTCAACGCAACGCAGACATTTTGGAAGCCGCCCGCTATATAAGGAACGTCTGCCACGACCTCATCCGAGCCAAGAAAGAAAAGCAAGAACGGAAAGAGTCCCTCGGCGACGACATCCTCTCCACCGCCATCGAATCCGGTGCTTTCAGCGACGATAACCTTGTTGACCAACTCATGACCTTCCTCGCTGCCGGCCACGAAACCACCGCGTCTGCCATGACATGGGCCATCTACCTCCTTTCCAAGAACCCCGAGATCCAATCCCGCCTCCGCGCCGAAGTCCGTTCCCGCCTCCCCTCCCTTGCAGATGATTCCTCCCAAGAAATCACCAGCGTCGACATCGACTCCATGACCTATCTCAACGCGGTTTGCTCTGAAGTCCTTCGGTATTTCCCCCCTGCCCCCGTCACCATCCGGGTAGCTGCCTGCGACACCTCGATCCAGGGCCGGCACATACCCAAGGGAACTCAGTTCATGATCATCCCTTGGGCTATCAACAAGTCCGAAGCCCTTTGGGGGCCTGACGCAAGGGAGTTCAAACCTGACCGCTGGGTGCCAAAGGACGAGACGGATAAGAGTGCCGCCAGTGGAGGGGCGACGTCGAACTATGCGTTCCTGACTTTCTTGCACGGGCCGAGGAGTTGTATCGGGCAGCAGTTTGCCAAGGCGGAGTTTGCGTGTATGTTGGCTACGTGGGTTGGGAGGTTCGAGATGGAGCTGGAGAATAAGGAGGAGGAGGATGAGGAGAAGATTAGTATCAAGAGCACGCTCACGGCGAGGCCGGAGAAGGGGTTGTTTGTGAGGTTAAAGGTGTTGGACGGGTGGTAGATTGGCTTTGCCTTTTGTCTTTCACGAGGGTCGGAAGTAATTTGTGATAGCTGAAGTTTTCTCTTTGTTGAATTTTCGGTTATATTTCTCTGAAGCGTGGATAGTGGGTGCAATAGCCAGGCCATATCCTTTTAAACCTACCTTGGTCATATATCTTTGATGTCAGGGCTCCATCTCTTTATCACTTGGACCCTGCCTCGGATCATGTCAAAAAATAGTTACAACAGCCAACCCATCTACCGTCTTCGCCAACTCATCCGCCCCATTCAACACCGCACTACAGTTCGACTCTGCTTACTACTCGCACATTCAACGCCAGATGCTTATCAAACAAATTCACCTGCCTCAACACAACCTTCAACATTGCCATCAACATTAAGCCCCAACCCCGGTGCCTTTTGCCCACGTACACAAGTGCCTCTCGACTTACACCGACACAGGTATCATACCACATGTCATAACACACTACAGTCACCTTCATAATAAGAGACACGCATATGGTCACATCTTTACATATCTCTTTCACATATCTCTTCGCATATCTCTTCACATATATCTTCGCGTATCTCTTTCATACATAACATTACAAAACCAATAGAGAATCAGCACTGGCTCTCGTCAATAGCGTCACACAATCCATCACATTGGATGGTACCGTGCTGGTCTGCTATACCAGAACCTACTATAGCACATTAAGTAGCCCGCCGCAAGCTCCAAAACGTTCTCCTAATATATCATCTGGCACCCGTCATCTTGACTGTCTACTATTGTGTCTTTATGTGATAATGCTAAAGGCATTTATAGCTCAGACTGTCTCTCGAAAAGCTTAGATATAAAAAGCACCCATCAAAAGCCCTTTTATTCAGGGCAAGATTTCTTTTTATCATGTATAAAATATGCATTTCACAACTACTTATCGTGTTAGAGTGCAGGATACTTCAGACAGCAGCCATGGAAAGAGTAACAAATCCTCAACATTTTAAGTGTCTTTAGGTTTCATAGATGTCTTTAAAATATAGTAGACATAAGGAACTTGGACAATCAAATCATAGCTCGGATTATATGACAAGATACCTTTGACTGTGCTTGCCTGTAGAAGGCAGGAGCTTTGCTCCTGCCTCTCGTCCTCTGTTTGTGTCTCCGGAAAAAGAGGAAATGCTGCAGATGAAGAATCAGGGAAATAGGTATCCAGAGAGCTGTTTGTCACCAAGAATCCTACGTGTATCAGCTTTTAGTTATAGTAAGTAGAGCAAAGTTCCAGCTACAGCTTCATATTCATTTCACCCACCCATAACTTTATGGAGTCTCGCTCCAATCAAGACTCTATCAAAGACTCTTTAACTTTCACCAAGACTTCTTTTATTCAAGCATAACATATTCATTTCAGAACCACTTGTGCAGGTGTTATATTTACTTGCACATTTCATTGCCCTAGCAACAAGCCTATACTTATTTACTCTTTATAAAGACCTATCAATAGAAAAGATGTCGTTTAAAAATATTATGGGCTTAAGTAGCTCAGACTATAAGAAAAATAGCTCGGATTATGTCAAAATATAGCTCAGACAGCCCATAAAAAAGCTTGGATATCAAAACTCTACCGAAAGACTCTTTCATTTTCACCTAGAATTCTCTTATTCAAGCATAAAACGTGTATTTCACAACCGCTTATGCAGGGGTTATACTCACTTGCACAGTTCATTGCCCTGGCAACAGGAACATGTTTGTTTGCTCCTCCTTTTACCCCTATTCCTGGGGGCGTGACCTTGGCTACTCCTTGGTCCCCTTGCTTAAACAACAAACAGAACAGTGCATCGTGCGTGCTGCAGTGGAAATGACATCTGGAAGCACCGGTGGACAAAAATTCTTTGTGGACTGCCAGCAATTGCCCCCGGGGGCCGTAGGTTGCATGTGTATAAATCGTAAAGATGGGCGGGCATGTGGGTGAAGGTGCCCATTTCTGGAGTGGAGTGGTGTGGGAACAATGCAGTCATGATGCGGATGTGCAGCCTGGGTGTTGATGCGGCTCTGTGATGTGGCTCCCTGATCCCACAACGCAGGGCATGTAGTCAAAATAAGGTTGGTGATAGCATCAGATCAAGAGGCTGGAAGGAGTGTAACTTGCAGTGTGGCAAGTAACGAAGGTAAAATGGAAAGCCAAGCGTCGTGGGTACTTTGTGCCTCCAGGATCGGAAGAATCATCATCGTTGGTTGATAAAAACGGGATGGACTACAGCTCTATGGTGGAACTAGGAAGATCAGTCGGTGGGGGTTAGTGCCGTAAACATTGAAGAAAAGGATTATTTTGAATGATCGAAGGTTTAAGCTGATGTACCGTTATGCCGAGCCTTCGTGGGGGTAGGATGGGCCAGGTACCTGACGCCGACGTGGTTGTGAATAGCGTCAACAATAGTAGGGTGTGATGTGTGATGCGGGTTCCCAGCCGCCTTCTTTTTGCCATGGCGGTAGCTTTTTTGTCAAAACGGGAAGGGGCACGGCAAAGGTGCTTGACTTGTCCATTTTCTACATGCCACACCACCGTACAAGAGCCATGAGAAGTATATATCAAGATGCCTTAACTTGAACCCAACCCAAACACCACCACTCATATTCCCGCCGTAACTCCTTGCCTGCTTCCTGAAACTCATCTCCAAGCATTAAATCAAATGTATACGCCATATCCCGGTCTCCTGTGTTGAGCCACCCATTGCGTTAACCTTATCCACCAGGCAAACACGGCCTGAGGGTAGAAGTTGGACTAAAAAATTAGAGTAATACAACCTCCCACCGAAGAATCGAACAAAGCATCTTTACACAAGCATCGACAAAAGAAAACAACAAGATCACCTCCAGGTACCATGTATCCTTCCTCTCCGCAACCCCGTCCTCTTCAGGCCGACATCCCCATTTACCATTAGACTCTTCCACCTTTTCCCTACACTAGATCTGTCTTTCCCCAGACTCCTCGCACAGTCCTGCCACTCTGACTTTGACAGCTTCAGTTTCTCTAGCACAAGCTCGACGAGGATTCGATCGTCTTCAGCAGACCATTTTGACCCGTCACCTTCTGTTACAATATCAGTCCCTTCGCTCGTTGTGGGGTTATTGTCGACATATAGCCCGCTATGGTGCAAAGAGTGGTAGTCACCCCTCTCGAGACCCAAGGGGATGACCTCGGGGGCTATGCGGGAGCGCTTGGGGGTTTGCGGTGTTGGATCCTCCTCGGGCTCCTCTGCTTCTGGTTCCACATCGCTGGATGTATCCTCCTCGCGCCCCAAGTCATCGTCCACGGCGCGCCGACGTTTATTTGGCCCCCGGGAAGGATGCACCGGGGTGCGCTTCGCGATGCGCTTACGGGGCGGGGCTGTTGTTGGGTCGGTCGCGCTGGAAGAGGAAGGTGTGTCGTTTTTCCGCGATCGCAGACGGAGCTTCAGAGGGGCCGGCGTATGGGCGAGTGGCGGTGTAGGCAATTGCGCATGCGTTGTAGTGGGTGGAGTGATGGGTTCTATGGTGGCGGGAGGTTGGGGGGCAAGTGGCGCAGGGCTGGCTAGCAGATTATGAAGTGAACGACATGTAGAGAAGATGTTGCCAACGACGGTTGGTGTGGATATTTGTGGAGGGCTTGCGGGAGGAGAGGCGAGGAGAGAAGCCTGGAGGCGCGTCAATGGCGGTTGCGACGAGTCGCATGCCAGCGCAGACGGGAGCAACATGGTGTTCTGTTGTGCGATAGGATGTTCGGGCTATAGGTTGACGGGCGGCAAAGAGGCAGATCTGGGCCGGCAGCGATATGAGAGGCGGTGGCTAAATGAACCCGAACCCGGGAAAGAGGACGGCGGTTTGGGTTTGCGACCAGAGCTCTGGAGGTCTGAGGAGGAATGCGCTGTGGGTTACAGGCAGTCTTGCCTTGCGAAACCAGTGCGCGACGGTGTTGGTGACCGAGTGATACGGGAATTTGGTCTATACGGATCGTGGTACTAGGGGTGGTGGTGATGGCGGTTGAGGTGTCGGACAAAAAAGAAGGTGTGAGGAAGGTGAGGAGAACGATGGACGGGCCAGGAATAATGCGCCTGTAATAAGAAGTGGGATAGAGCGGGCAGGGGAGTTGATGGCAGGGGGCCGTAGCCGGTTCTTAACGGTGGGCCACATGACGACCACTCC